CATGGCGTCCATGCGCCAAGTTGGCCAAACTCTCTCTATCTACGGCTCTGATTCGAACGCCTATACTGTTTGGCAAATTATGCATGACATAATACACTGATTATTATGACGTCATTGCGAGATTGCGACAACGTTACACTGTTGCGTTTGTAAACTTTTGGTAGGCCTATCACTTAACCGAAATAGATAGGCATATCCGTGTCAAAGGCTGTATAATTATTGTTTAATATTGGCTATATAAAATTCAGTTGACTAACTGTATTTTTTTTAAATTAGGAAAAACAGTAATCCTATGTATATAGATAATATTAAACACTAGTATATACGTACGGGTCATAATAATATTCAAAAGGAATAAATAGTTTATAGTAGAAATTGTACACTTTTGAGTTTGTAAAAATATTGGCCTGATAAGTATACACGCTTCCAATATTAACAACTTTCAGTACATTGTTTTCACAATAAATTTAGCCTCTGATGATAACCGTTGCACCGATCGATCGATCTAGTGGTTTCTGAGATGGTTACGAAATGTATAAACAATTGCGTTTTTACTCAGTTTTGGTCCGGAAAATACGTACCGCACTTAGAAAAGTGAACAGACAAAATTCATGGGTCATACGTAATGGTTGTTCTTTCCATTCGATTTTAAAAGTGGGGTTTTAATTATAGAAGATTGGTGAAAAGTGGGGGAGACAATCGATATGATGTCCCCCCCCCTACTTTGAAAAGTGTGGGGGGGGGGGGAGGACGCGTCCCCCTGTCCCCACCGATCGACGCCCATGTGCACAGGCATTGACGACTATTAAAGTAGAAGTATAACAGTACATGTTGGTTATAGGCTGGACAGTCAGTATAGGTTGAGCTGGCTAGGCAATGGAAAACAACAATAAAAACGCCAATGTAACAAATTAAATATGGCTTTTCAGTATTAAGCCTCGTAATAACCACACATCCCGCTAACCGAGAGCCTATGAAATAGGAATACGTTCCAACGCAACCACGAGAGTACCTCTTGCAGTTGTTGTTGATACCTCGTGGTGATCCTCATCATCATTGATCATGTTTTTCTAGTACAATACTTAATTAATGTTTAACCGTATGAGAAGCATTCAGTGTTTTTATTGGAGACAAGTAAAGGAAACAAATAATTAATGTACGAATGCCGGGGCGGATTCACCCCCTCCCATATTTTGGAAAGTTAAAAAAAAAGAAAAGAAAGAATTGATTACTCAAAACGCCTCAGAGATTTTTGGGCGTCTAGAAAACAAAAATTTCGCGGACCCACTAGGATAGTGTTATCTCGATCGGCCCAACTTTCTATACCCTTTCCTTTTGTTCCTCCCCCTTTCAGACATCTCAGGAACCGCCCCTGAAACTCAACGAACAGCAAAGCGAACAGTAAGTTTACAAATCTTGTAACATAGAGGGCGCTGTTTGTTATTTAACAACCCAATTCGATTTTTAGCAAGGTGTTGATCGATCGTTTGTGGACAATCAATGATCTTCTTTGCCGTTTAAGATTTCCTCTCTTCTTGACAATGTCAGTGTAATCTCAGGTTTGTGATAAATAACTCAGATGCAAAGCACAAAAAAATGTGCGCTGGAGTAGTCACAAATATCAATAGGTTAGGCCTAGATACAATTTCGCCTAAACGCCAAGGCCCATCTCGATACCGAAAGACAAGTCATCGGATATGGGCAGAGGAGAGGCTATCGTCTTCGTTGCCTGATGCGGGCGAATTCAACTTCAGTGGACGTGAACCATTGCCCGACACTTGTCATCTTGTGTCAAGATTAACGCTTGAACAATGTTCAAGTAATGATAAAAAGAAGCGTTCTCGAGGTAGATTAATTTCCGTCGACACATCTAAAGCAAAGTCGAATGCTGAAATTTTACGAAAATGTTTTGACGACTTGGGCTGGCCATGGAGAGAAGTAAGTAGGCCTACCCCTCACCACTCTAATTAAAACATTCTTGATTTGAAAAAAAAATTAATAATTTAGGGCCGGCCTAGTAACCGCCTCTATGAATAGGCCTGGGTAGTAGGCACTATTTAAAAAAAATGTATATTCTTAAATCATAAACAGTGCAAATTACACGAGGTGGCAACAGCGGGCGACCAGCATGCAAGGGCCCCCTGTCTTGGTGTCCCCAGTTGGGGAGGAAAACACAATTTCTTGGGGAGAAAAAAATGATACTTATTTCTTTCACATTAATAGAGTGCAATACTAAAACTGTTTTCATGGGCTTCGGCCCCTGGACTACCGGATTATTTTGAGCAAAACCTGACCTGCCCACTTCCATTCTTGTCGGGGACATCCTCCCCTATTCCCCATCAAGGACTTCGAACACCCTGCAAGTCTCAAGGCATATCGGAAGATTTTCTTGACCACCCATTCAATTTTTCCCTCTTCTGAGAGTCTAAATAGAAGGAAAAGGGTACTGTATAAAAATAATCTTTCCTCACAGTGCTCCATAAAATAACTTCTCATAAGTCAAGTATTTTCGAATGATCTCATATGTATTACAAACCTATCCATAAATGCATCTATAAAAAACACAGCAGGATTCAATTTGAAAGTCCTAAAAACCGTGTTGCCGTTTGTGTAAAGTGATACTGTCTGTATGTATTAATATGTACTGCATCTGGATGCCTCTGAGAAAAAGATTTATACAGTACAGTGAGTTTTTGCATAATCTTAGACACTTTCACACAAAATTACAAATGACACTACCCATATTGGCACTATTCATACAGAAAGGTGCTATACAGCAATATTTTTGCAATTTTGAAAGGGCGCATGACTGTAAGCCGCATTACCGCAATATTACCAACCTGTCTGAAAGTGGCTTATGATTTTACTTGTTTCCACATGAACTGTAGTTTTCCAATTATGTTTAGTTACAGGGTATATTCATAAGCATCCTTATTCCAGTAATCACAGTGGGAATGGATGCAGGATTGGCAGTAGGGGGTGTGTCAGAATCTCAGCCCCACCATGGTTGGGGCTGACGTTTTTAAAATTGTGAGAGTAAGATCCTCTAGGTGCACGGAAATTACACTCATACCTTAAAAATCTTACCAGTAATTCATACCAACAATAAAATACAACAATTATTTTTCTTGATACAATTTAGGGGGTCGAGATCGTACAGTCTGCAACCCCCTCTCCTGCATCCGCCCCAGCAGTGATACAGTATGATTGTGTGATTTAATATGTGGCTTGTGTCTAATATCATGTTTGGGTGATTTTGTTAGTATTGCTATGGTAACAGTACATAATGAATATGAAATAAATTGGTAATTTACAGTTGAATGGGTAACAAAAGATGCTAATACAATTCACACATGACTGAGCTGTATTAGCCATAACCACCTGGGTTTTCCTAACCTTTGACACTCCTAAATGCTTGATTGTTCTATAAATAAAACTATTTATATATCGCCTATTAGTGGATCACAGATCCCTCTATAGGCGCTTTACATAAATCTTAAACTATGGTGGAAATCTATCCTCCACCAGACACCAACCCAGTATTTCTGAGTCTGCAGTAGGTTTCGGGGCAAGGAATTACAGTTTGGCTCTAACTACATTCACTTAACTACAATATGGTAAATAACTATCTCCCTCCGGACACATAATTTCTCACTGTTTTTAAAAGAAATTCTGAATGTGTGCCTACCAATCAAATAAATGATAAACAGTTCAATTTAAATTAAAACAACTTCCTTATAGGACGAGTCTTGAAATCTTGAGGGTTGGGATGGGGGAGGAGGTTTGGGGATGTGAAGGTGGAGTGAGATATGCCACTACTTCTTTACTCTCTTCAGTGTGTTGACATTTGCTGCAGGAGATCTTTCATTTAAATCATGCTTCTGTTGTTTCGCATTAACATCTTTTGGTTTGCATACTTAAGTATACTACCTTTTAACTATTATTGGAAAAATAGTACTTAACCATAGGTAGTAAAGCTGTAACTGTAAAGTTATAAATTATCCTGAGCCATTAGTAAATAAGGCAATAAATATACCAAGTAAAATCTATTATTCATGAAGTTCTTCATTCAATAGTACATTTTTTTTTCTTACAAAATACTTCTATTTATAACTACAGTTTGCCCTCCAATATGAGACCCATTTAATTCCGAGACCCCTCAATAATTCAAGACCACTTTTTCAAAGTACCAACTAACCACTAGTCTTTTAACACTGAGCTCACCCTCTAAACTTATGAGACCCCTCTACTTCGAGACCGAGACCACCTATGAAAGTACCATGTGACAAAATGACCTCCAATTCAAGACCACATTTGAAAATAAACAGATTAAAATGTGTTTAAATTAAATGCTCTCTAATTTTTAAAATTGAACTTTAGCATTAACAGGTGTATTTTAATAAGTTTATCTGTACAGTATAAATAAATGTTTTTTTCTGTAAATGGGTGATATTTAAAATACCTTGAGTGTACAGGTCTTAAATGAAGCAGTTTAATTGTCCTTATAAGATATCTGCACTGTAGGATAAAAAATAGGTACAGTTTAATTTTTTGCTCTTTATTAATCATTGTAGATGACCATTTCCACCCTTGACGCAGGGTTCCCGGAACGCCGCCCTCAGCGGCGTGTGCGAAGCACAACACAGGCTCAGAAGTGGAACGTGAATTTGGATATGGTTTTGTAGTCAGATTTGCGAGAAAAACTTCAGCTACCCGTATTTCTCGACTGAGACGTCAGTAGGAGCTGTAATTTGTACTCATTTTCACAAAGCATCATTTGCATCCCCTCTTGGAAAGAGGGATTCGAAATAATTGTCTCCATATCTTCGCTAATTAAATTAAGCACCGTAATTTAGCTTACACTTATGAATTTAGGGAGCACTTAAAATGTGAAATAATCATTTCACTACCCGACAAACTCCGAAATTTATTCATTCATTAGGCCTACATAATAGTTTAATATTGCTGTACTATATACTCCAACATCACTGGCGCATGGTAACAACCAACTGACTGCAGACCATTTCCGGTCACACATTACTCTCCATAACCCTCTAGTTCCGTCACCTCTGGATATACTCTTCATTTACAAAACATTTTGATGACTGATAATGTATGTACATACAATATCGATTACCATAGACATGTATGTAGCCATGGTGTTGCAATACATGGAACGTTTATCAATAACAATTTCAGGGGCATTTGCTTATCTAACAAGTTATTGACTCAGTTATCTTGAATTCCAAATACAGCCCAGCCTGGGAGATAAAGTGACTGACACCTGTCGATGAGCTCTTTTGTCCCTTTTACTGAAATTTTTAACTCTGGGCCTGGGTCTAATGGTTGACTGCTTTTTCTTCCTTTTTTATTTTAATTTTTGCTTTTCCCTCTTGTGTAGTTTAATGTCTTTTAAACTGTAACCTAGAGCCTTATTTGTTTTTTCTTTTTTCTTTTTTTTTTTTAATTGTATATTCTTTATATTTTAATCCTTGTATCATTTTATATTTTAAGATGAATAAAGGATTTTATATTAAAAAATTGTATTTATTGTCTGAGATTGAACTGAACTCTGTACAATTCACTCACTACGATCTCAAGATTTAATAATATTTTGTAGAATTTTGTGTAGAATTTGTACAATGTGAGTATCTTAGCTACACTGGTGGTAGCCACTGTGTGTATATAGAACCATGGAGATTCATTGTTAACCTTTTTTGGTGCACGGTTCACTCCCATCTGCTGCCCTCCTTGCATTGCAGCTAATGGGTTGTACTATGTCATTTAGAAGAGTCTAAACCCTCGGTCATGTGCATGTTAAAGATTGCAGTACAATCTTGGAAGACTAGAATTGGTCTCCTGGTGAACGGTACTGGCTAATCACCACCTGAAGGACCCCACTAGAAGTAAGTCTGCAGACTGGGTGGGTTACTTTGGTGTTCACTAGATAAGCAAATGCCCCTGAAATTGTTCTTAATATTGATAAACCTTCTTTGTGTTGTAAAATTATTCTTACTATACTGTGTACATACAGCATGTCTATGATAGTTGATACATTATCAGTCATCAACAGTACACTAAGATACACATAGGCCTTAGCCTATAATGCTCATTAAAATCTTTTATGAATTAAAAAGTACACCAAGGGTGGAAATGGTTATTGGTAAAATGATTATTGATAGAAAAAAGTTAAACTGTACCTTTATTTCCGTAGAGTACGTATCTTGCACTCTTACCGTAATATCTAAAAGAACAAAAAAATTTTAAATTTGACGACTATAAATTAATTAAATTTTTTAGTATTTCTGCCACCACTATTCAATTACATGGCCTCAAAAAAATATCGATACCAATATCATCATAAAACTATATCAGAAAAAAAGTTAATGACATTTTCCACGTATTTTAACCGCTGAAGTGTCATTTTGCCCCCTCACTTTTGTTTTTTGGCCTGCACTGTCCCATTTTTTAATTGATTTTCTATAAAAAGGTATCAAAGTGCTCATGACAAAAAGCTTTGTTGGAAAAGCTAGATTTTAAAAAGAAATTTTAGTTTTTAAGGCCACTGGCTTTGAATCAGAAACCTATTGTAAGGCTGCTTATTGAAGATGGGGAATATATGGAAAGGCCAAGTAACATAAAAGAAAATAACCTCTTTCTTTACGTAAAGGATGGGTACTACATACCTAAAGTCAAGTAAAGTGTAAATGTTATGTTTACTTTACTGTATGCTGTTCAGATTTTAAAAAAATGTGTTTTAATCAGTTTCAAGTAAAAAAAGAAAAAAGAAAAAAGTTTCTTTGAAATAAATAAGTGATTGTCCCATGTTGTCTTTTGGAGACTACTTTTAGCTTCGGTTTTCATTTAAAGGTTTCAGGTTGAGCTACCCTCTAATTATGCTGGCTTGAAGACTACTTCTAGCCCGTTTTTACACTAACTTGTGTGAACTTCAAGAGGAGATGGTCCAATGTCTAGCCCTGAAATGTTGCATAAAAAGCGTCTGTAGTCACCTCCAGTGTTCCATGTCTTTTTAAATTATAGTACTGAGTAGTAATTATTCAACTTCACTTCACTTTTAGTTTAGCATATCATAGGTTAACAAAGTCTCCCCCGATCATTATAGATATTCAGTATTTGTATCTCAACGAGTTCAAACAATACCTACTTGGAGCCTTGTTTTGTTTGCCTGTGTAGTATAACACCAGACAAATTATTGATTGCTGAACAACCTTTCAAATCTTTATTTGATTAAACAGTCTTTTCATTGTAGCTTGAATAGACTGGCAATAGATTGGACATACGTTCTACTACTTTATTTACTTTAGCATTATCTCATTTTCTTTGTCTCTTTCTTTATATTTCTTTATTATGGGTTAATTAATTTCTTTATAAATGCGATTTCGGCTATTTTACTAGTTTTTATTTGTTTCCTTACTGTAATTATTCGTCTGAATGCAATTTATAGAAATATGAAAAAAAATTCTTCTGTTTGGTATACAAGTAGGACTTGAATCGTAATGTACTTTAACGAAGGAGCACACCCACTCCCCCCCCACCAAACCTGAAAAAAAGGTTTGCACCCCAGATTCTCCCTTCCCTCTCTATAAAATTGCTTAGCAAAAATCTCTGCTCAAGTAGTTAAATATCACTTCATTTTTACTTACTTTGCCAACTAAAGCCCCCTCACTTAACCATCGAGCCTCCCACTTAACCTTCATACACCCCATCATCCCCACCACCCCCCTCTCCCTCCATATCAATACTTTTAGATACACCACTGTGCAATTGTGTGCTTTGAATGTTCTGCCAGATCTAGACCCCTATATACTAAATTTATTTTTGTTTTGCATTCAAGTACCGAACTGGAAGGAAGATAGGCTGTGATCTGTACTGGAATGCACTCAGTTTTAATGATAATGAGGCTGTCCTCTCGGGGAAAGTCAACAAATTTCCAGGTAAGTCTGACATTAATTATGCACTTTTTGTGCTGTAGATGTCACAAATTCACATATAATTATCACCTGTATTATTTGAGTTCATTGCTACTAGTTAGGAATTTTGAGTAAAACTATCACTTTGTAGACTGCTATGTTGTTGGTAAAGAGATCATCCTGTATCATTCAAATCATTGATTTGTTCATTTATTTAAAGCAATTAAATAATTTGATATAGCCCTTAGAATGAAAGCATTATCAAAGGCGCTATACATCAAAGTTTGAATTATAGTCCATAAACTTGCAATTTAAAGCAGTTTATTTATTTATTTTTTTAAAATCACAATTTAACCTTTTAAAGTGTTTTAAGGTTTTTAACTTTTTAGTTTGAATCATAACGACCTGTAATAAAATTGATAAAAGAAAACTCAGAGATTGAAAACAATTTGGTTTTTGTGAATTTACAGATTTTTAGTATGTGAATCTTGAATTGATTTGAAATGACACTGTTATTACTGTTTTACCTAATAGGTCCTTGCTTTCTTTTAAGTAGTATGATTATTTTATATATATATGTTATTATATTTTATTTCTAGGTTTAATAGGTCTGGTAAGGAAATCACAACTTACAAAACTACTATATCAAATGAAGCAACTTTTTCCATTGGAATTCAGCTTCTTCCCAACATCATGGCTCATTCCGGATGAACACCAAAAATTTTACCACGAAGTGATGAAGGAGAAAGAACAAAACCCAAACTATAAACCAACGTTTATTGTTAAACCGAGTGAAGGAAGTCAAGGGGAAGGAATCTATCTGATCACAGATCCAAATTCGTTGTCAATGCACGGTAATGTCCGCCCATCTATAATCCAGGAGTACATTACACGGCCATTGCTACTGGAAAAAACTAAATTTGATCTACGGGTTTATGTCCTTCTTGCATCTTTAAATCCACTTAATATCTACATCAGTCGAGAAGGAATGGCACGGTTCTGTACCATGCATTACCAACAACCAACAGTTAAAAATTTGAATCAAGTTTACATGCACCTAACGAATTACTCGCTGAACAAACACAGTAAGGACTACGTTCATACGGATAATCTCGACAGAGGCAGTAAACGGACTATGAAAAGTGTGTTCAGGACTTTAGAAGCAAATGGTGTGAACACAGACCAATTATGGGGTAAAATTGAAGCAATTGTAGTGAAGACAATAACCTCCTTGCTTCCAGATCTCAAAGTTTGTTACGAACTTGAAATTCCTTCCAAGAGACCCGGCCCATCTTGTTTTCAGGTAAAGAGATGTTTATTTTTCCCTACTTTTCTTCCTCTTTTCTCTTCTTACAATTCTTCCACCCATTAAACTATTGTTCCTGCTTCTTGTGCTGAAGCCCCCAGTTCAAACTCAGTCAGCATTGCATTATAATTGGAGTCTGATCGCTTGGCTCCTTGAATAACCCTCATATTGAGAGTGACGCTGGTTAAGGACAATGTTTGTATTGTATCCATGTATCTGTTATGTTGTAGTTAAGTTGAGTGGCGCTGCACTGCGGTTGCCTCAGGTCCACAGGGTCCTAGCCCGAAATTTCCGATTTCCTATTAGAATGAGGACCAATAAAAATTATTAAATTATAATTATTATTATTATTAATGTTTTAATCATGGACTATTTTATAGCTTTATACTTGATTCTCCTACTCTTGTAAGAAATAACCAGATAACATTTTTGATAGATTCTTGGCTTTGACATCCTGATAACGGAAGGCCTGGAGCCAATTCTTTTAGAGGTTAATGCCAATCCAAGTCTTCGGTTAGACTACGAGTACGAGCCATCTCCTGGCATTGTAGAGTCTGTTCCAAGTCCCGTAGATGAGGAGATTAAGATACCACTAGTTATGGATACATTGAAGATTGTTGTACCATCTAAACGTTTATCATCTGCCAAGTAAGAATATATTTATTGGTACAGATAAACAAGGTTTAGTTAATGTAATCATTAATTAATATCAAATTGTTCAAATGAGAAAGTATGGTTGATATGAGTTTAAAGTGACAATTTACTGTAGGCCTTATGCCCTGTTCAGATTATCAAATTGTCTTTGACAAAAATTTGTTGTATGCCCATATATAGTCATGATGTGCCTATATATGGTCATGGTGTGATGTCATCGTGACCATATTTAGTCATGTCACATGTTTTTGTCAAATAAAATGTAATAGTGTGGATAGGGCTTTAGATAGTGCCTGTGTAGATGCTCTTTCCACTCTATTAATGATTGTGTAGCAAATACCTGTGATTAGCCTGTAAATCGATTTGATGTGACATCAGTGCCTTTTACACGGCCAAGTTAGAGATATTTGTCACAGAAAATTTGATAGTGTGGACAGAGCATTAGGTACTGCGACTTCACATGCACAAACGGCACACTTGTCAATGTGTACACAATTGGCTTGGCCCAGTACATCCTTCGAGAAGAGTTGGGGGTACTGGTCCATTCAGCCCTTCTCATTGTGAACAGACAAAAGTGTGCCGCTTGGCAGCTGATCAGACACGATGTGACCCTGGGGGAGACGAAAGTTGTAGAATGAGTTGGTCCATGCCTGTGTGCATTTCAGCCTAGTTGAAGCTGCACGCCACAGGTTATTTCCTACCTTTACCTACCTTTACCATCACAATTAAAATACATTAATGAATTGGCTGCACTTCGTTGCTATTATTCAGACGAGCGCTTGTGTCCCGAAGTTGTGAACATATTCCGTCTGGACGCAGAAGAAGGGAAGAAGAGGAAGAGATTCACTTTGACTGTTTAGAAGAAATCTGGCCAATGAAATACTCTGAAAGATACGAGCACCTGAGATTGATAGAGAAGGTTGCAGGGCTCTTCCATTTATTCCTAGGGGTGCGTGAATCTCAACATATGGGAGCCACAGGGTTTAGGAACTTTTGTCGGTGAGTGCTATTCATTTTGTACCCTATGAAGTACTTTTTAACCATAATTAAATGTCGTCTTTCATGGAACTTCTTTGTATTTAATGTGCAAAGAATAGGATTCAAATATTTTTATTATTACTGTATTGTTGTTTTTGTTATATTGGGGATGTTGCTTGGGCACCATAAGTGTTGCTACTTTGATTGTACAATTAAAAAGCATTGTGTTTTGTTTACCATTTAGAATTTTCTTCAGTGCATTATCATTAACTTTTTAATAGTTTAGTAGTAATTCTAATGTCTTTATTCTACTGTTTAACTCTAGACGTGCCAAAGTGTGTGTTGGAAGTCTTACGATGGCTGCTGTAGACATAATGTACATTGACATTGTACGCAGGTGGAAACAAGAGACACCCGCCGGCACATCATGCGGCATGTGCTTTGGCGCCTTCCTGGAGGCTTTCTTCATCTTAGCTCGCCGTCGCTTTCGATTGGAAGAAACCCTCCTCGGCAAGGTGAAATCCCTTGTGGATTTCTGCGAGGTCAATGTCCACCAAGGCCCTCTGTGGCCTCCCCATAGGCCTAAGAAGGGTCAAAGTAAACGATTAAAACGTCTTGTTGTGAAGGAAGAGAACCTGTATAAGTGGCCGTACGCAGACAATGAAAACAATTGAAAAAAAAGTCAAGAACCAGGCCTCATTGATGCAAACAGCCAGTTCAAGATCATCAGTTATAAAGTCAATCAAGAAGCACATCTCGATGATGTAAATCGGTTTACAAGCTGCATTATAGCCAATAAGATAATGGAACTCATGATTTTTACAAATTCCAAGCAGAGTATGAATATAATTGACAATCAAGGGTAAACAAAACGGTACAAAATTCTCACCCTAAATACAAAAACAAAGATAGAAATTAGACATGTTTTTGCATGACATATCAAACTGGTAGTTATTATTGTAAATAAGCTGTAAATCATTTCAGAAATCATATTATTTAATATACATAAAATTGAAATAGATTACTAACCAATGAGCAGATGATATGATAATCAACTTTGCTAAATACCAACCTCTGTAGAATTAACTCATTTGTTCAGTCATGTCATCAAGGTATAAATATAATTATAATATAAGTTATTTATTACTACATGATTGTATGCAACTTTCAGTATATTTCTAGCATGACATTATATAAAATCTCTATGATTTTAAAAAAAGCCTAATATTACTAGTACTAAACAGACTATGCCTCCTTACTTACTATGATACCAAAAATAGAATTTGTACATGCAAAAATTAGCAGCCTGTTAGTGGCGATGATTCGCTGTTGGTCTGTTGAAATGAAATAAATAAAAAGTGAGTATGACTATAACATTAATATTAACATTGCCTTTGACAAAGAAATTTAGTTTTAGTGTCTTGAATAGCAAAATTTTAATATGTTGGATTATGTTTAATATTACAATTACATTCTTATACACAGTCTATTGCTTTTTAATTTGGTGCTGATACCCTTAAATATATTATTAGACAAATTTGTGAAAATTGAAGAATTGTGTAATATGTATATCTCTTGCCAAATATTGCTAAAATTAATATAGATTTTAAACACTTTACTTAACAATTTTCCATTTTTTCTTCCGTAATAAGGTCCTTTTATTATATATTTATTTTATTTCAATATAAATAATATAATATAAAACAAATATGCAAAAAATAACATAATGGCTGAAGAAAAGTTTATATGATAACAATATCTATTTGGAATGGATATTACATATATGTGGTTTTTAGCTGTCTGAATTTAGTTAAAAGGAAGCAGATGTGCAGTTTTATAAGATATTCATATTTTATTTTAATCAGTTGTTTTCCCTTTGCAATATTATTCATAGCATTGCTAAACAATATTTCAAAATGTTGCAACAGCTATAAATATGTTCTTGACATTTCTATATAGAAATTTCAGAGGGCTAACTCAGAAACATATAAAGCAACGATACACCATAGTTTGGGCCTGCTCAAACTGAGTCAATTTGTTATTTGGTTGTTGTCTTTTAGAGGAAAGTATGGGTTGCTGAAGAAAAGCCTACCCAATTTTAATAACAAAGTATATTCAATTTTTAAAATACAAACTAGTGAAATACCTCGGATTTATAACATATGCTGTGATAACGAAAACTCTAAGCTAGTGTTTTAACTTCCTTAAATCTAATAGTTCAGAACAATAATTATGTTGCATAGTAGGGCATTATAAAGACACTTCCATGAAATGTATATTATCTGGGAATGAATATTAGATGAAAAATATAAATAGAAAAAAAACAGTAGGAACAGATAATCAGATGAAAACTTGTGTAGAAATGATTAATATAGCATTATACTGTAGAATTCCTAACCGATTATCATATGAATTAAATAGAATACAATATGAAGCATATACATTAAGTACAGTATAATTAATAAATATAGCAGTAGGCCTAATTGTGATGTTCATATTGATTGGTACATAGCTTTAGATCCCATTTTAAATATTGCGAGTATTTACATAATTAATGATTCTTTGAAAATAGTAAGAAGTTGAAGACCACATACTTCTTTTTTTTTAAGTGCATTGAGACTTGCTTACATTGCTTATATATTAATACTAACATTGCTCATAGGAGCACAGTTTTCCATATGAATTAAATAATCAATTGCAATTATTATAGTTATACAAAGCAGTATTAATTATGATCATCTTGATACAATACTTATTAACAACTAGTATTATTGAAGACTACATATTTCTTTTTCTGCATTGAGATTTACATTACTTATATATTAACAGCAGTTTTCCATGAATTAAATAATCGATTAAAATAATTATAGATAATATATAGCAGTATTAACAATGATTACCTTGGTAGATACTTATTGAACCCTCTTTAACTATATCAACTAGTATAGTGTTTACATTGAAAAAATAATATAGTAATTAAAAAAAATATGGTTCATATTTTTTTAGCTATAGCTACTTTAATACTTATTGTTATTGCCATTTCTATATAAATTCAATATTTAAATAATAAAAAAAAAGTTGGCCAAATTATACTCATCACCTACATTTTTCTCTGTTCAGGTAATAAACTTACAAATTGCTACTATTACATCATTTACTTACAATTTTAAATTAGAACATAAAAAATTTCTTTTGCCATACCATACCTAAATTCTTTGTATTGGCGCGAATCAATGATGAATGAATTTTCATAGTGAAAATCAAAGAAAATGAAATTGTTTAGATGTTCTTTTTATTGGCAGTTTCAGTGCTTGAAAATTTATAACTTATTGGATTCATTTAAATGCTTTTCTATGTTATGATTGAATTTACAGAGTTTCCTAGGTTTAGCGCAGGTCTTTAATTGGTGACCTATTTGAAAATGCTCAGTCAAAATATCAGGCCATAATATTCAACATTTTAATTGTTTATGATTATTGTTATCTTGGTAGTGATATGTAATCATGTATACAATATTAGTAAAAATGTGTTTGATGTACCCAGTTTAACTTAAAATTAGATTATCAACTAGGCCAGCAAAACTTTGTAATGAATGATAACATTCAAAATAGAATACAATTCTTTTAAGGTATAGTATTAATAAGAATATGATCTAATTTCATATTTTATTATTAGTTTTTTAATTGTAAGTTTATTTGTTGTGGAGTAGGCTGTCTTTCATATCTTAACACACATCTTGTTTACTGTGTTTATACCTTCATCAAGATATGATTACAGTAGGATAATCAAGGCAATATATATTACATCATTAACCTTAAGCTGGGCAGTCACGGCGCCCGACAGTCATCGACCGACATAATTCTACACAACGTGTAACATATCGTTTTTAATGATCTGTTCAGGTTGACACTGAAAATCAGCAGACATTCGTATGACTGTTGTTCGATTCTCAGCTTTATAAATTATCTGAATGGATCAACCAGTTGCAATAAATTAGTACTTAACTATTTAACAGCAAAGTGTTATGGAATTGTTCGATACAAAATCATACAAAACCAAAGTTAGTTACATTCCTCCTATTTTTACTAGGTTCATGATTTTGTTGGCTTTTTCTCCACAGTTATCATTACCAGTATATTACTTTTCTATAAAAGTAGACCTTTTTGAAACTTGCTCCTCAGTAATTATTCAATACCAATATCTTTTCTATTTATATTAGGGAATTATATATTTTGAAGGCTTTAAATGTGACTAAGTTAAGCCTTTGTTCCCACCTTGTTCCGCAGTCATTCATTATTCAATACCAATAACTTATAATTATATTAAGGAACTATTTGATACAGTGGTGTATTGAGGCTTTAAAGTATATAGGATGCAATCAGCAAATGGACTAGCTCATCTTGACTTTATTTATTTAAATTTAATTAATAAATATTCATAGATATATATATTATATTATGTAGCTAAGGCGAGACCTTTTTTATACCTTGTTTTGCAAACTTAGTTTTTTAAAGATCATCAGAGAATGGTGGGAAAAATATTAAAAATAAAATTCTTTTTTCTTATGAGCAGATTGTTTTACCAATAACATCCAGATGGAGGACAAAATAAAATAAGTATAGTAATGGGATGGTTAAATGCTGTAAATTTATGTAATTAAAAGGAAATAAACATATCTTATTTTTGGAGATTTTAGTGCAGCGGAAGGTGTAATTGAAATAAAGAAAAACTTCTACTTTTTTCTGAAATTCCCATTTTTGGTGGAAGCAGGTACGCTAATTGGCCAAAAATAAAATTTTTATTTGAAATTATCATTATTGGTGAGCGGTGGGTTTGCTAAATAAGGTAAAAAAAAAGTCTGGCCTAATCAATATACTGTATTATGTAAACAATATAATGTAATAAATGGTAGCTATTTTAGAACATAGAAAAGTGTAGAATGCAACATCATAATCAACCATTATTTTAAATGATTCTAGCCAACATGATTGTTTATTTTTTTATGTTATTGAATTGATTAGTGTCATTCTTTCATTGATGTATATATAACTGTTTACATATTTATATTATGTTGAATGTTTATTAATTTCAAAGGTAACTAACACGACTTGCAAGATTACAGTACTTATATTATTTAATATATATTTTGTTGTTTTTTTGTTTTTTTTTTCATTTTTCTTAATAAGTAAATTGGTACTCAATACTCTGTATATTTTCTTCCATCCAAGTATTAATTGACTTCATAACCGCCATTATGTGTTCACATAATTATTGTCATCTTTGTTATTAAAGAATCATAATTTATGTTTAGAGTTAATTCTTTGTTATTTAAACATAATCGGTGTATATATTGGTTTCATTATATTCTTCACTTAATAATAATACAGTAATAGTAAATATGGATTTATGTCATAGTTATCATTAATATTGTTAACTTCATCTATTATCATCATATTGATGTGTTTATGCTGTCATCATCATCATTTTATACTTTTGTCTTCCGAAATAGTGCTCTAGAGATGCCACCTTTTGCCAAAATTTTATGACCAATACTCATTATCATTCTCCTGCCACAAATTATGCCAGTTGAGTAACCATAGCATTTTCCAACTTCCCTGTAGCACAAAAAACACTAACACAGTTCATATAAATTTGAAATATCTTTAGGCTACAATTATATCAAAGGTTACATTTTTAGAATAGTATACAGAAGATATGGTAGATGAACTAAAAACATTGTGGAATAAAAACATATTAAAAGTGTACTGTATTTGTTTAGTGTGTTTTTCAGAAGCCTGTGTAAATAGACCTAGAAAAATGTCAACAGCTAAACAAACTATTTTTATTTCATTTTTGAAAATGTCAAAATAGATGAAATTAATGAAATACTATGTAAAAAATGTGTTTACAGTATATATACAATAATTGATAATTAATTTTAATATTTTATCCAAAAAAGAAACAATACTATATATAGCTACTGTTTTCAAAAGAAGCAATGCAAATATGAGGAACAAGTACATAATTGTTTCTTTTAATTTACAAAATATGTATTACAGCCAAGTAACACCTGCACAAATCTTTAAATCTGGATGATTTTGGATGCATAATTGACATGTCGACAAGGACGCGAAAACCTTGGACAATGGCTACCAACCTTCTTTAAGAAAGAGAATTCAAGGTAGGCGGTATGCAAATGAATCATATATTCATAGTGAATCTATTTCATGGAACAGGCGGGGAAATTGTTGTAAAAGCCTCTGTATTTCGCTCCCAAAGAAAGAGGGAAAAGCCGCATTCAGTCAACCTTGTTGGCGGCAAAGGCCAAATCACTGATGCGCACTGCTCGTGTAATTCTGGGTATTATATATAACCAAGCGTAGACATCTAGGCCTAGGCTCACGTATGTTTCGCATTGACAACCAGCTGTCTAAGGAAATTAAAATGTCCGAGAAAAAGTTTTTGATAACGTGACTAAATGACGCTTGCTGATTAGTCGGTTTATCTGTCAATCAAATCTCGTTGAGATGTTAATTTGCAAAGCAAGGATCAAATATTTTAACCTAAAGCCCTGTCCAAACTATACAATTTTAATTGACAAAAAAAAATCTGACATGCCTAAACATGGTCATGATGACATCACATCATGACCATATATAGGCACATCACGACTATATATGGGCATACGCAGTTTTTTTTTTTGTCAAATGAAATGTGGTAGTCTGGACAGAGCTGAAACCTGTAACTTAAATGCATACACAATGCAATATATACAGACAGAACTATTTCATTATAATTGATGCAGTAGTAGTTGGGACACTGATAAAAGTAAATGTTTTGATGAAGACAACTTTGACCTTTAAACTCTCCTGTAAAAGTGCACTATGTGCATGAAAGCTTGTGTATCAATAAAATTTCAAAATAGCCTGCATGTTTATATTGATCATTAACTATGTCTCTGAAGTTTAATAAAACACTCTTGCTACAGCTGCAGTCCATATGCATAATATGTTGATCTTAAACAGTGTTGATCTAAAGCTTTACATGAGCACTGTTTAGTATACCCTCAACAGCCATCATTGCTATATCACTACCACATACAATTGTCCAATGACTGATAAAACTAATATTTCAGATCAGAAATTAAGCCATCTTTCGCAAATTCATAATGTTTGCAAGGTTTTACTACTGTTTTATTAATGGACTTTTGTGGAGTGTCAATCAGACTTAGCAACTGGCCAATAAGAACAGCGTGAGGAATACACGCGTGTCCAACAAATACAAGTGTTGTCCCACAATTGCATGTGTTTACGTACATTTACGCTATTATTTTGTGGGTCCATAGCAATAATATCCATGGGTGGGGCTTAGCAGTGGTTGATTGTTTCCCCGAAGTCAGCTCACCATGGATATCACCATGTACAGTAAAATACAAATGTGAGGTCTCACCATGAAATGAGACGCATCGTTGGTGAAATCATATTGAGATATTCACCAAAACAGGCCAAAGTCAATATATTTACAAAATTTAGATTTTAATGTTTTTGAATAACTTGATACTTATATTTTATGATTGTATATTTTGTAAGTGAATTTTCTTACCAAAACAGTGTTCTCTGCACATATTCTGTAATTCTAGTCATATTATTTGTACAGGTTAGTTTATCTTTGATTTTCTCAAAACGTGGTTCTTATACACCTAAACTTTAAATGCTCACATCTCTTGATTTACTTATAGTAGGGAAGCCATTCAAAGACCAAATGAAAGCTTATAATGTAATCTACCCAAATATAATATAAACTCAATTTTTGAATTTCTAACCATGAGACTCATTTTGTGGCGAGACCTCACAAATGCAGTGCTCTCATACAATCTTCAAACGTTCAATAGATTTCTTGCACAACAACACGCAATAATGTGTTCATTAGACTGGAAGAAGGCAAAATAACAGCGACAAAGGAAATTACACAGGAAATTGAAAGCAGAGAAAATTTTCCCTATATTTGACATCTTCATAATTGAAATTTCGATATGACTGGTTACGAAAATGTAAAAGCACTGTACACATACATTGCCTACTATTACGTTTTTTGGTTGATATTTTTTTTATCTATATACTAGTCGTACTGGTGGTGGGGAAGAATCGGGAGAACAAATGTCCAAATATATCAATATTCTGATGCAGGATGCTCCTCAATGTCTCGACATGTTTAGGGTTGCAAACAAGTGGTGTTTTTCGGGTCAAAGGTTGGTCAGTTGATATTTGTACATAGTTAGCATCTGATGGTGGATTCTCCTGTTTAAAGAAGAAATACAATAAATATATGATTTCATTAAGAATTAATAATTATTATTTAAGAAGAAAGACAACTCTATTTCCCTACACGTAATGTGGAGACATAATTCTTGAAACATCAAGGAGTTTATTCCATTATTCTATCCCATTAGTAGTAAATAACTTAGATGAGAATAAAATGTGCATGTTTACCTACCTTCATATTTGCCCAGACAATTGACAGCAAAACAAACACCTCATGTGGATCCAAGTGTTCCAATATTTCACCAATGTAGCAAAAAGGTTGTGCCAACAACTGGGCCTACGGAAAGAATTTAATAGGTACTCTTTTGAACTCTTCTTTTGAGTTAATGTTCTCTTTATATATTATACTTTTACAATTCTTAAATTTTGTAACTATTTTTCATCATTGTTGTCATTAATTATACATTGCATATTGCATACAAATAATAACAATAATAACAATAATAATGATAACGACAACAAATATGAAGATGATGACAACACAAATAAAAAAGTAATAAAAAAAATAATATACATTTTAATACATATATCCACATAAATTCAGGAAAAGATATAAGTACATCCATAATAAACCTGACTGATAATGACACTGCCAGTGGCGTACCCAGGAGTCCTGGAAAGGGGAGGGGGAAAAAATGTGAAGTTGGGGACTCTATGATTAAGTTGTAGGCTCTATGATTAAGTGGGGGGGGGGACCTAGATGTGTATAAGAGACAGCCTAAACTTTAAATGCTCACATCTCTTGTGGGGGGGGGGGAACCTGTCTCACAAAATAAGGTTATTTCTAACTACTTGAGCATGATTTTTTTGCTTCGAACATTTTCAATTGGGGAGGGGGAAACAAGTATTTTTCTGGGGTGGGGCTCTAGATACGCCACTGCTCACTATATGTTAATACCTACCTTACTGAGGTATTTGATGATATTGCATGATGCCTGTAATTCACACGGAGCCTCTTTAGCTTTGCTAACACGTGTAGTATCCCAATAATTAATCACCGTAGACAGCGTACTGTACAGCAACGGTGAACAATGACACATGGCGATACAGTCTGTGAAAGGGGATGATGGAGAAAAAGATTACACGAATGAAAGTGAAAAAATATTGTGTACATAGAGTGCACATTTGAGTTATCAACTTAAATTTTTACCAGCAGACTGCAATAAAATTAATTATATAATATATTTATATAAATGTCATAATAACTAAATTATACATGAACTACATATTTCCAAAAAGAAAGCTTCTTACCACTGGAGACCATGTCCATCAACTCCCACAAAATAGGATTGTTGTCAAACTTGCATCGAATTTCAAGATCTCTGCAAAGAAAAATATTGTTTACTTTAATAATTATTAATATCAATTATTATTCTTTGAAGATTTAAAGCTTGCTAAACGAGGCATAAAAAAGTCATGTGGCCTAAGAGTTTAATTATTAAAGGCAAACCATCATTCCCATATATTAATGAACTGTCTCTAAACACATTCTGACTACCATTTTAATGTGAAATAAAAAAAAAGAAAACAAACATTTTCATCTTGTTCCTAATATGTTCTTCATCTGGCCATACTGAGTTGGCGTGTGTAACATCAGGACAGATGACCTCCACTAACAGACGGGCTAGGACCTCAGTTCCAGACTTTCTCCTTGATTCGGGTATATCAACTGTAGTTGATGTATTGGATTGTGTTGTTTGGTGAGGATCTGTTCCTGTTTGCGTGGCACAGTGTGAAAGTAATGGGTCACTACCCAAACAACTGTATACCACAGATGTGAAACTCTGCACATTCATAAGAACCATGTCCTAAAGAAACAGAAGAAAAACATAAAAAGAATTATTACTATTTAAGTATGTTATAGTTACACTCCTACCATCTTATGTCGGAGAGTATGAAAACAATTTCTTTATTTCACACACAATGTTGGGCAATGTTTTACGGTACAGAATGATGAGACTGGTGCAAAGAATATGATCTGCATACAAGCACTGATCTCTACTATAATAGCTGGACTGCTCATTGGCTGGTTTTAGTAAAACCACAGATGTCATGTTGGGGAGCCCGTCACTAATACATCACCAAAAACATGACATCACTTGCGCTTTTGTAAGCAGCAAAAACAGGTGAGTTGTTAGAGGATGTGAAAAATCATACAATTAAAACTTATAATTAATAAATATTGTTAAGAAACATTATTTTTAACAATAATTTAAACAAATGCAAACAACAACTTGGCATATGACGTCAGTGGCTTCAGTTACTGTGGGCGTAAATTCCCTTAATGCGAATTAAGGGTAGCACCATCTCCTTGCCATACAAATTACAGCTCCCACTGACTACTCAGTTGAGAAATACGGGTAGCTGAAGTTTTTCTCGAAAATCTGACTACAAAACCATATCGAAATTTACGTTCCACGTTCCGCTGCCCTCAGCGGCGTGTGCTTCGCTGAGGGCGGCGTTCCGGGAACCCTGCGTCTAGCTATTATGAGATCAGTATATATAACTGCAAAATTGTAAATATGAAATGAACAAAACAACTTGCCTCTGGGATGGTTATGAGTTTGACCTTTGGTCTGACTCCCTTGCCCACAGTTCCCCCATGAAAGACATTAGTCATTCGTTTTGAGAATGACACAGTCGAACCAATATTTTGGTTCTCTTGTAGTAACAGCAGCTTATTCTCGCTAGTAGTTGTAGCATCATCCACATATCTCTCCACTTTCCCACTAAATAAGAAGGCATTTTCCTGCAAAAATATAAACATAAACAAAAAATAATAATTTATTTTGATATCTTTTAACCTCTTTTAAACAACTTTTCAAAACCATTTATATGGATGTTGGGTCTACACAAATTTTCATGTGATATGCAAAATGCAAATACTGACCTGTTGAAGGGCGCCCTCCACAAGTTCTTTAAGTAAAATAGTCTGTCCCACAGCTTTTTTGCTGAGACTTTCTAGAACCTTGCAACAGCAGGTAAGTAGACTAAGCCTATGTGCAGAGTCTAATAAAGAAATACAAAATAATTATATATTATGTTAACATACTTTCAAATTATCAAATGGATAAAATGTAAGAAAAATATAATCATCAAACAGAATTTGAACTGTTATCAATCCTTGGCTATTGTTTTGAATAACATCATTATTATAATAATTAGCATTATGATTATCATCTATTACCTTCCATGTGTAAGACAGAGAAATAATAATCCACTGTTGATGTTGCAACATTTAAAATGGTTGCTAAGGAAATGCTTTCAGGTAATCCAATCAGCATCATGAGTTTGATAGCTTCTGAGGAGACGTCTCGACTTGAATGGTGTAATTGGGCCGTGATCATCTGGAGGTAATACTGCAGACAATCCTGAACCCGTCTCCTGGGAGTTGTTCGACCTTCCGGACTATTCTCCCACTGCACCAAACAAACAAGGTTCTTCAACAAGTTAATAGACTGTGGGAAAAATTTAGTTTTATTATGAATGATATTAACACACACAAAGACAGTTGAATTTTTTTAATTGATCTAGAGATTTCAGATCAGCTGTCGGTGAGCTCTCCAAAAACACAACTGTCTGTACTAAACTGAAAATGTAACAACCCCTGTGTTCTTGTGCTAAGAATTATTCCTAAGAATACTGAATTATTCATTCATTAACTTATGTCAAAGGAATACACTATTACTTTGATAACTGAATCTAAATTCATTCATTACAACATTTACAAGAGTAATTGCATATTTTTTAATATTTTGCTAAAACTGCATCTTGTATGTATCTTCATTGTAGAGAAGACAGTTGCCATAATTTTGGATAAATTAAAGTTGATACCTACAGCAACTGTGTCCAGATGTTGCATACGACTCAGGGTTTTCTTAACTGTTTGATCAAGGACCCCTGGAAACACAGCTTCCATTTCAGCTTGTAGTACTATAAACAGGCTTGCCTTAGATGGTAAGTTGGAAACGAAAAAGGTGTTTAGTTATTAGTTATTCACTTGTTTATGTTGATGAAAATTTCCAAAGGATCCTTTATAATAGCTGGAACTTATGAGAGCAAATTCTGTGTAGTTTTAAGAGCAAGTCACTCTAAGATTCCATTTATACTTTCCTCCCATTAAAATAATGAATTAAAAACGTTTGACATGCTAATATAAGTTATGGACAAAATATGGTTGTTACATACAGAAGATGCAAATATAATTATTAGTAATTATTACTTGAACAACCAATATCACCAATGCATCGCCCACCCCAGTCCTCTACCACATGTATATATACTAACCTTTTCATGGTCATTTAGATTTACAACAATGAAGCTAAGTATATCTGAGCCACAACTTTCTCCACAGTGGACAGCTACAAGGCACAATAAACGCTGTAACCAACTAAAGCAGAAAACAGAAAGAAAAAAATGATATTTACAGAGTAAAAAAATGGCAATTTTAATTTTGTTGTTACAAAACTACATCTACAGAGGTGTATTTGGCCGAAAAGCACTGTTCCCTTTACCACTTACCTTTTGCAATCTGTTTTTAAGATGTCCTTACAAAGTACATCAGTGTGTTTCTGTAATTCCTCCAAGAAAGGGATTTCAGTGTGGTCTTCAGAACTCTTCTGGACAATGCTACCTGTCTTATTGTATACAGACCTCTGTAGATCTAACAGCAGTAAGTCCTGTATAGGCAAATAAATTATATAGTAACATTTGAATTCTGTGTTCGGACCTCTGTAGATCTAACAGCAATAAGTCCTGTATGGGCAGAGAAATTGTATAGTAACATTAATAGAATCCTGCATTCAGACCTCTGTAAATATAATAGCATTACATCCTGTTTAAACAAAGAAATTGTATTACAAAATTTGTATAAAAGGGTGATTTTGGATATATTCAGATAGCCCATTGTCACAGTCATCCATCATCATATCCATCATCATTTCCATTATCATCATCATTATCCTCATCACCATGACTCTTGCATAATGTTCTTATCAATATGAAGAATTTTAATTTAAGGAATCAGCAATTTCTTACCAGGACCAATGAACAGTTATCTTGTACAACCTGGTTCACTTTCTCCTCCCCAGCCTCATCATGGAAATTTCCAGAAGCAGTCTCCAGCAAAAATTGCAGTAACTTAAAAGCTCCATTGCCTGATTTGCATATCAGGTGAATAACCACATGGATTAGGCTTTCTTGGTCCCGTTTAATTATCGGAGATTTGGCAAATTGTTCTGATAGTCTGTTCAATACTGATGGAGTTACTGTACGTAAAAGAGAGTGGTAAGAATTTCATTCTTTATTTTTTTTAATATTTTTGCTTTTAAACGCAGAACATGTGTTCCCAGCTTTACAATGACATAGAACATACTCAGTAGTGGAATCAGGAATTTGAAATATAGGGGACCTGGGGAAGGACTTTTACAGATCGAGGGCCTAGACTCGGACTTAAAATTTGAATATAATTTTCTTGTTCTCCATATTTTTTTTATTTATGAAACATTTAGGGGGAGCTTCCCCCTCCCGTTGAATCTGCCACTGATATTGGGTTAGTGTTCTCTAATCTAAAGCCCTGTCCAGACTATCAAAGTTTATTTGACAAAAACATGTGACATGCCTAAATATGGTCATGATGACATCACATCATGACCATATATAGGCATATCGTGAACATATATGTGAATATACAACAGTTTTTTGTCAAATAAAATTTGATTGTGGACAGAGATTTACAACTTACATGAATGCACAAAATCTGTGGTAATGACTTTTAAAAGCATGATGGACATGGTTGCCAGATGGAGTAAGAATGGCACTGTCTGCAACTGTTGCTCATTTTCACTAGTAAGACTTTCCTACAAAGAAAAGCAATGTAAACAATATACAAGTAATGAATGTCTATAATTCGAGTGATCAGTTTGATCCAGTGTTTTTCACTTCCGCTTGTGTCTCAATAAATTTTGTTAGTCTAAAGAAGGTGCTACTGTACTCATTTAATTTTTTACAAGGAGCATGTGGAGTTGAATAGAAAGTTCCATCTTTCACCAAAATTAAAATATTCTCTCTCCCTGTATAAATGAAATACATTCATTAGTCATTTATTTTTTTTCATTTGTTATGTGAATTAATACTACCAAAATCATCTGTGCTGGCAGGGTCAAAATGTCAAAAGCAATTGAAGTAAGACAGCTAAGCATTAGCCTAGAGGTATTTAAATCTCATAACCAGTTCTGAATATCAAACATTTATGCTTATTGAAGTATATTTATTCAATCATCTTAACAATAAAATGCATATATTGCAGCACGTGGCTGAATTATGTATGAATTAACAAAAGTTAAAAATATAATATACAAAAAAACAGTATAAAATTGACACAGTAACTAAAAGTAGTAGACAGGCACAATGCTTAGTAGTTAAGGGTTTTAATAGGTTGGCCCAGGGTGCAAAACAGGGCCTTTGAGACGTATGAAGTTTGGTGAAGGGGCTTTAAATCCACTTGATCACTCACAATATCCTACCTGGAATAACTCCAGTAAAGCTTTTCGAATATCCTGAGAATGTTGACTGGCTAGATGCCCAAGAATTCCAACAACAGATGCCATTTTTGGAACTTTCTGCTCTGGTCCTGCAGCGCCCTCTGACTGAGTGTTACAGAAATCTTTTAAACCACAAGCTAACACCCTGGTTATTATAGTGTTAGGAAAACAAGACCTGTAGAAAAGTGTAAAATGTTTTCATTTTTATTGCCTTCAAATTAACACCTGCAAAAAATGCAAACAATTTATGTTGTCTCACTTGAACTACAATTACTTCTTTTAATTTATAGGCTTAACAGTTTTTTAAAAAAGTTTCACAGTACAGGATTTGAACCCAGGAGCCTATAATGGGATAAGACTACGGGCACAATCATTACACAATTAAAAATTCTACTACTACATCGAGTATTAAATTAACTTTGCTTTTTCCAATTTCAAAACTATCAGAATGCTATAATATCTGCATTAACAGTACAAAAATAATATTTAACATAATACTAAAACATAAAACAAATTCAATACAAGAAAATATTTTAAGAAACATTACACCAAAAAGCTCATGATAGTTGAATTTTCATTGACATAAAACACTGCGTCAAGATACACAGAGATTGTATTAAACATTAATTTGGGAACCTCCTAAAATGACACTTACCCAATATGAGCAACTACCCAATCAAAATGAGGTGAGTATGTGACAGAGGCATCGAGCAAGGCATTCACACACAAATCAGGACAACTGCCAATCATGTTGGACATACACTGAGTAGAAAGATCCATTAGGGTTCTGGTACCTAAAACAAATGGAAAATAAGAAATATGTTCACAACAGTAAGCAAATGTTCCACATTCAGTAATCAAACAAATTCTCATTTAATGAAGCACTATGTGGCTCTATTCCACACAGTCATAGTCAATCAGGATGGTTAACTCAAGATTTTTATATTTAATTAGGCATTGTAGTGGTTAAAGTAAGTGAATCCTTAAGTTGTCCCACAGTCCAGGAAGGGATAAGAAAATTCCTGTGATGTGGGATAGGAAGAGATTACACATCAATTTTAAATGTTATTGTAGTTACAAAACCACTTAATAAAGAGGATGTTGAACTTAGAATTAGGGGAGGAATTTAGGTAGGATTTAAGAATGTAACTGAGATGAAATAGGGAGTTCGAAATAGATGGATTGAGGAGAATAATGTACAGAGCTGTGAAATAAAACAAGTTGCAAAATATTGTACATATGGACTACTTTCATTTCTTTTTGTGAATGAAATTCAAATTAATTAAATCATAGAAGGCAACGTTACAACAGGCATACTAATTGTGGCAGAGCATTTCAATGTAGCATTTGTACTTGTTTATAGATATCATTTAATTCAAATATACTCTGTGTAGATGAAGTATATCAAAACCTATGCTCTTGCTAAGTGGCGAATTCAACTCACCTTTGCATGTCATCCACAATTGAAGAATTTCATTGAGATTTGAAGAATGAGGAACACCTCGTCGTAATGCATAGTTCCGACTTACTTGCCCCAAGAGATCAATGGACCACTAAAAAGCAAGAGGAATACTGCTAGTTATCATTAATTGTAGTACAAGTAAAAAGCCTTCAGGCTAGTATTTTACATATTACTTAAGCCTATACTCATGTGAATACTTACAGTAAAGATGATGGGTGCCCAAGTTGTGGAGTTGATATCAACAAAGTCAATTAGAACTTCATAGATCTCATGAATGGCTTCGTCGAGACATGGACCAATGCTCGCTATAGGAAGGAAATTTGGAGATTAACAACATCAAAGGTAATACTGTTAACTAGAAATTGATATTGATTTAGATTTTCTTTTTCAAATTCCTTGCATCAGTTCAGAAGGAAATTATATCATATGTCGTTTTTTTAAATCATGTTACCTGTACAATATTTTTGTATTGTTTATTTAGTGTAGGCCTTCCCTTATTTATTCTTGTTGTTTATTTTATTGTTTACTCTACTGTATGTGGCGAATTTCATTTGCTGTTTGTTAGGTTTCGCAATATTAAAATAAATAAAATAAGACTCTTTAAAATTATGATTTGACATAAGAAGGCAAAACCTTTTTTTTAATAAACAAGGCACAAATAAAAGATTAAAAACCACGATGAAACCCAATTTTTGCTGATTTTAAGTGGAAGGTCACAAATTTCAATTTTCGAAAATTTAGCATTATGAGGTACCTTCTCCATCTAACTCACAAAGGTGAGTATTAACACTTTCATTGAAAACATTGCAAAGGTGCTCAAACACGGCAGCTCTTGCTGAGGGTAGGGTCCGTAGCAGCTTTATGGCACAGCGGGCATGCTCAACACTGGTTAACTTCTGACCTGTACGAACATTGCAGCCTTTCACAAAACTTCTCACATGATTCAGGATATCCTGCAAATAATACAACTCAAAATTTCAATCTAGTGCCCTCTTTTAAACCAAGCTAAATGAAAATAAATTTTATTAAGTTTTACATTGTTGCATGAAAATTTTTATGTACAGTATTGTTGTATATTATTATTGTAATAGATGGTTCTGTTAGAAACTGTAGGGTGTTAAATGTCTCAATATTTTTTTCTGACTGTCAACCTATTCAAAGCACATTCTTAAATGCCCTACATCTATGTTTTTTACCACATACTAACTACTAGTAATTCTATTTGTGCAATAGCCAATATTTATTTATTTTATCAGGTCTGTAGTAATTTTATATATAGTAGGCGGTGCCAATACTATAGAGTATTTTAATTGTGTGGATGATAAATGAAAAACTACCTCAAATTTGCACAGAAAATCGCTAGGAAAATAGGTGTATAGAATCATAACTACTGCACAATATAGGTCAAACCCTAATTTTCAACAAAATCTGGGTGAAAATCAGCACTCAGCATTTTCCGAATATGTGCAGGCGGATTTATATGCTTAATTTTTGTTGGGTAGATATATTCCCGGCGCAGGCCTTACTTTGCAGTCTGGGTAGGCCTAGGTCTACTTTAACTTAGCCTAGTAGGGACAGGGCAGGACCAAGCAAGGCCTACCAATAATAATTATTAAAAAAAACATATCTAATAAAACACTAATTAATCATTATATTTTATTTAGTATTGCCTGTTGGTAGTAAGTGAGCCTAGGCCTACCCTTATAGACTAGGCCTCATGCTAAGTTAGTAAGTAAGGGCCAGCGCCAGGCTAGCTAGACAGTCTAGGCTAGGCCTAATTGAGGCCTAGGCTAGGCTCCTGAATTGAAGTCCATACTATCCATACAGCAGCAGGACTGGGGCTAGGCCTAGGCCCTAGGCGTAGTACTAGGCCTAGTAGGTAAATTCGAAAACTTCCTAAACGAATATCTTTCGTCACAAAATATTTGTTACTTTCAAAAAATAATCCTTCTAATTTAACAAATGCACAAAAAGGTAACTTACGTCTGCTGGATATTGCTGCGGTCTCATCGACATGGGCGCCGCCATTTTCCAGAGTCGATTTTTATTTTTAAAATATGTCAAAGGGTTATTCTTTTGTGCGCGCATGTGTGTGTGTTCTCATGCGTGAAAACATTTGTCTGGAAAGTAAAGCGGCCTAGTAAAATACTAATTTAGGACCTATAGTAAGCTTCGTCAGTGATTTTCATTATTTTCACGAAACTCTGATAACCCTAGATCTTATTTTAGCCTCTTTGATTACGGTACAGTTTGCTGGCTCGCCGCAGGTCTAGGCCTACCTCTCTAGAGGAGCCTGTAAACTGTGTCAGAATTTCTGTAGTAGTAGTAGTAGGCCTAGTAGTATAGTAGTAAAGTACTGGGTAGTACTAGTGGTAGTAGTAGTAGTTGAAGCTACTGTCAAACATACATACACAGATACTATAGGCCTAGGCTAGTACTACCAAACTCTGCAAAACTATTTCTGCCAATTCTGGAATGTTATTTAGACTTAGCCACATCAGGGAGTTGTTCAATGTTATTAACAACTCCCTGGCCACATCTTCCCACAGCACAATTTAAAAATAATTTATAATAGTCTCATCCTGCTTTACTTAAACTACGGATTCTTGCATGGGGAAATTGTACTTAGAACTAGGCCTATACTCAATTGCACAAGATTCATGTCCTACAAAAACGGGCTATCATAGGTGTTGACATATAATACCAACACTGCTGATCTCATTGTACGTCTTGGTATCTTGGATATATTTAGTTTATATAAGTTTTCCGTTGCCATATTTATGTATTTTTCAATTTTCCAATTCAATTACTAATTAATACAATTGCATTAAATTTCACTAAAAATAATCAAATAGTTATGCTACAACAAGACAGTCCTCTCATTTCCATCCTCCACTTACCCGTACTAAAGTTAGAAAATCCACAATTTTCTACTCTGGCCCCATTTTATGAAACTCTCCCCAACACAATTAAAGATTCAACAAACCTCAACATGGTGAAACTCCTCAAACGATGCCTGCAATGTGATTAACTGTAATGTAGTTAAGAGTTTGTTTTTATTTTTATTTCCTTGCGGGCCTCATTTGCATCAAGCGTTTTGCTTCTTGAGGAGGTCGTGCCACTCCATATTATATTATGTATTATGATGAGTGAAATAAAGAAGTATGATGATAATGGGACTTTTCTTAGATTGATAACATAAATATGCCAACATTTGAGGAATATCTTTATTTATCGGATGCCGAGCGGGGGCTAGTTTTGGGAGAGGGTGAGGGTGTCCCCTATTGTAAGGTGGGGTCTGGGGAAGCTCAGAGGATTCTTCTGTTTAGAGAGCCAAAATGATTGATTTGGATATGTGTAACTAATTACTAATTTATGCGATTTGGATATGTGTAACTAATTACTAATTTGTGCTGAAAGTTTAATTAGGCTAAATTCGACCACCCATATAAATATAGTAATTAAATTCATTCTTAAATCTGGAGAACAATTTTCAATTACGAGACAAGTCTCAAAATCAGGAGTCTCTTTGTCAAATCAGGAATGTTGGCATGTATGATAGTCTTTAATGAACATTCAGGCATTCACTTGATGTCTGGTGTGTTTTATCATCATGAACAAAAATATAACTGTTACAAAACCAGTTTAAACTCAGGGGCGGATCCAGTTTTTTGCTTTCTAGATACCTGTAAATACCTCTGAGGTGTTTTGGGTGATCAATAATTTATTTTTCTTTCTTTTTTTTTACTCTCCTGAAAATGTTACACCTTTCTGGTTTAAAAACACATTGTTAATACATGGGGAAGGGAGTTGTGTTAATTGTTAATTGTTTTTTTCTTTTTCTTGCAGAGCAACAAAAACAAAAAATGGCTTTGATTGGATACAGTTCAAAGTGTAAAAATACACCGCCACCAGTTGAATCTCTAAAAATTTATCGCGACACAAATTCGTTGGTTTCAACAGGGGAAGCTCACATAAGCATCAGAAGTCAACAGCTAATCTCAATGGTTTTGGTTTCAAAATCTGATGGTGATGCTACGTCAGAGAGTATGCCTGTGGAATGCCGCAAACATACTGAACGTTCCCCGACCCCCTCAGATGGAGAGCAGTTCAGAGTTTGGCGCTCTTCAGATTCAAAATTATCCAAAAGAGAAAGGCCGGTGGTTGAGAATCGGGAGATGCCGCAGACATCCAAACCTTTAAAGAACATGTCTCGTTCCAAATCGCTCAGCCCTCAATGGTCATCAGATAAACGAAAGACTTCTTCCATGAAACGCTCGGCCACTTTCTCAGGAAAAATAACAAAGTCAAAGATCACCAAAACCTCAAAGTTGAATGATTACCGAAATGCAAAGATAAAAAATGAGACTGGCAGTGGCACAACATGGATGACCAGAATTTTCTATGTTCTTACATTATTTATGTTACTATTCGTGGTGGTTAAGTTAGTGTGGATCAACAGTAGTCAGAGTGCACTTCCATATAATCACAGTGAAGTGCTGATAAACACAACAGGTTTACAAAAATACCTGCAGCATAATTTCTTTGGTCAAAGATATGCAATCAAATTCCTCCATGAAATTCTACAAGTAGAGTTGAATGGCGAGAAACATAAACGCCCTCTTATCCTCTCATTTCATGGTGGACCAGGTGTAGGGAAGACATTCCTTACAGAAGCTATAACTAAACATTTGTTTACTAATGGGTTGGATAGCCAATGTGTTCATAACTTCATTTCTAGCCTGCACATAAGAAATGTGGGAGACAACATCAACCATGATATCATCGCAGAGTTCCTTCTCCAATCAACATATATACGATGTCCACTTCAGTTGTTTATAATTGACAATATGGAAATCCTATCACCTCATCTGGTCAACTACATTTCCCAAAGTATACAAACTTCATTGTCGGATTCAAGCAGAGTTAAATCTATTATTGTGATTTTTGCAAGTACTCTTGGAGGAAAACAAATTTTCAAAATGAGAGATTGTTCAGATGCTGTTTGCTATTTGCAAACCACCAAGATGTTAAAAAAAGAATTGTCACTGACATGGACATCTGAAAAAACCTTGGATGTGGATAAAGTAGAATATAATTTTCTGCATTCAAGTGAATTTTTTGTTTTTTTCCCACTGAAACGTCAACATATAAAATTGTGTGTGCAACATGTTTTGCAACAGTATCTGCCGTCTGAAAAAATTACAGATGAACTTCTTGAACGGGTTGCTTCAGAAATCAGTTTTGTTTATGTTGGTGAAAAGGGATATTCGTCCTCTGGTTGCAAGCAGGTTGCAGAGAAAGTCATGTTGCATTTATAGTTAATAGTTGCTGGAGCAGTTCTTATTCTACCAGTTGTATGCAGTTGAAAGTCATCATACATAGTCAACATACACACTGCGTCATGTAGATGGATTCGCAGTCTGCGTTTCCAGCTTTACATTCCTAAATTCTGTTGATGCTGGATTTAGTGGTTACATTTATAATTTCAGAAGATGATAATTTCAGAAGACGATAAGGACATATTAAACAATTTTCATTTAATAATAGCATTTATTTTCAAATTGAAATACAATATTCAGTTTATCATCATTCATTGATAATTATAAAAGTAGAATGATATTTAGCAAAGGTAAAAGAAATTGACCAATCAGAACAGTGCCAGGAATATGTTCGGGTATGTTTCAACACTTGTCTTGTGGGAACAACAATATCTAAGGGGCGGGGCGGGATTTTGCGGAAAGGTCCATTAATAGCACTTTCTGTCTTTTTTATCAGAATACTGTACAATACAGTGGAGTAAACAACTTAGCAGCAAGTTGATTGGTGGACTTTTATCTATAGGCTATTTTATTAACTGTACAGCTAAATATTGTTTACACACTAGCTGATAATCAAAAGCAAAATTCAAACTAGATAATAGCCTACAGTGTATGCCTTAAACATACTCTGTATACCATTTGTTGGTATTTGCAATATCGCATATGTTTGATGTTCAATTACCATAACGTTCCAATTTAACTATGTACAGTACTAGGCTGTAATTATTTTTCAGATTACTAATACTATTGTACTAATAAGGAGTACAATATAAAGACATACCAAGTATGCAACAGATTATATATATTTTTATTACTCATAATGCTTCTTGGAAAGTATTGATCTATCACTGATTTGCATGGGTTAAAGTAAACCCCAACTGTACCGTGTATGTCTCACCCCATCCTGTAGACTGAGTTCCAGTCTCTAAATTTTGTCTTGATCATTGAAAACTGAAGTATGAAAAATAAATCAACTTTGGCACCAATCGAATTCCATATTACTTATTTGCATGGGCTTCCATACTATACTTTTTCTGGGATCCAATTCCCATACAAATTCAACACATTACAAAAACAGCTGGTGGCGCTGTGAAATTATCTTACACTAGAAAAAGTTAATAAATTAGAGACTTGTGGGAATGCTACCCATCCTGCTACTCATTGCTGATACACTATATTAAAATATGCTTACAAAGATGCATACCCAGCATTACTTACATATAGGTAGTAAATACAGTATTTTTAATAACATTATAACTATGTACAGTAATAACTTATATAATGAGTTGACAGTGATTTTGTCACTACTTAATGCACTGAGAACATGAAGTACAGTATTATAGCTTTTTATGACACTGATTTTGCAACACAGCTCACAGATTAGCCAGTATATTTGAAGCATTTGTAAACAAAAGGACAAGTGTTTTGGGTGTGAAACAACTCCACACATTCTGGAGTTAATGTCTGTTGACATGGTTTGGACAAATCCCAAAAATCAGCAGGCATTGCAAATGTAAATGAAGTATGTTTGTGGGGAGAGGTCAAATAAAAATATTTTTGCCCAGACCTGATGCTGAATGCTTGTTTTCAATTGCATGCCACAAGAATTAATGTAAAACAAAATCACCATACACAAGATGATGCTTCTCTTTGATTGCACATTCAAATACACATTTTACTTCAATAACATTTAGTTTAAAATATCCTTTCACAAAATGTCTTTAAAATCTACAATAAATTGTAGCATTCTTCGCAAGTTAGCACCGAATTATCATCTTTGCTCAATTTCACGACTCGGAAAATAGGTACCAACTCTGTATTGACACACACATTCCTTTAAAATGACATAAAATGGAAACTCAAAATAATACAGTAGAGATGGCCAACATGATTTTCATCTTAAAATCCTTTATAATGTACAGTACTGTATTTTACAAGATTACTGGCAACATACAAAATATTTACACCAACAGCCTTCTCGCAAAGGGCTATTGGCCACTACTTATGTACAAAAAATGCACATAAAGCAAGATTTTATATACCTTGTTAGAGGGCATTATATTTTTTTTAAAGATATAAATAAAAATTTGTTTTCTCATTTAGAAAAAATGGTTCTGCCAAACGCAACAAGGCAGGGGAAAAATAATTTTTTTCAAAAAATGAGTGAGGTAGGAAAGTAATAGAGGGCGCCCTGCTCAAGATTAGATCACGCCATTGTAAAGAATATTATGTTGCAAAATAAACACTTAAGCAATCAGATGGATATGGCTTAAATGCTAGGAAGAAATAAACATTTCTTTTTGGAAGAAAGGTTCACGATACAGTGTACTGTATCAAAAAATTCTTGCCATACAGCACAAGCTTGTAATTGTGTCAAAACTCTAAATTTTTATCATTCAATTTTTTTTTTTTTACAAATTATTTTACAATAAAACAGATATAAATGTACTATACTATAAAATATTTTTTTACAATTTAAGTAGATAATTAACTAAAAAATCCAGTATTAACTGTTGATATTCAACCACACATTATTTCTTATCAAAATATACTTTATGAGGGTAGCCCTCATTTTAAAAATCATAGAATTGTATCAAGGTGCAATAAAAATTTTTAAAAATTAAAGTCCCATTCCTGGCAAATTTCACTAAAATATAATTTTTTTTTTGAAAAAATGCGTATATATTACTCTAATTATTATAAACCATGGAAAAATATTGTCAAATTTTAGTTTTATGCAAAAGGATAAAAAAAAAAAAAGAAGAGAAATAGAGACTATTTCTCATAGGAGATTACCATTTTCTCGACGAATTCTTCGTTACTAGGCAAATGCAGTAGTTGTAGATCGCATCCCAGGAATCTCTTGCTTTTGCGTATACTTTATACAGTCAATAAAGTGCCCCCTCTTTAATGAGATTAGTTTTTGTACTTCGCATCTCGCGCAGTGCGGTCGATCGAGTAGGCCTGAGATATGTTTGTTTAATTGTCAAAATCTCTGTCAGAATCATTTTTTTAACAAATTTTAAATAATTCCAATGAAATATTATATGTCAATACTAGCAACGGAAAATATCATGTCTGATTACATAACCTAAATCGTGTTAAGGCTAGGCATAGCCTAGCAGTGTTGATAGGCTAATGCTGCCAGCGCCTACTATATTTCTTTGCAGATCTATTGCAAAATCAAACATTAAAAAATCATTCACGTTTATTTTTTGTGTGGAACACAAAAAAAAAAATTTCAGTCTTATTTTACACTTTTTCATGTTTAGGAATGTCTAAATTCAGTTAAACTAGCAATTTCGTATTATATTTATAAACCTATATAACATATATAAAAATTAGATTTTAGAACTCCAATTTTAGATTTTAGAACTCCAATATACAATAAAACACCACGAGTAATCATAAGGCTGGGACACACAGTGACTCGTACAACAGTCATATGGTGTCGGCTGACAAATCCATCTCCGCTATCAGACGAGCTCTTGATGATGTGATGCCATGTGCTAATTTTTTATGGCAAGCCGAGTAGATTGCTATTAAAAATGATCATTTGCGCATATGCCTTGTCGTGTTGTATTCAATGACCATTGGTGCTGTGCATGTTTGGCTCAACATATGTGGATGTGTCTTAATAATTAACAGGCATCCCCATGACCTGTATACCTGCTTCTAAATATTCTTTCCAATCCAGCTAGCTTTTCATACAGCTCATTTGCATCATCTGGGTCATAATCAATCTATATAAAAAAAAATTAACACAACATTTATTCATTTATTTGAACAAAGACAGCAAAATTATAAAACAGACTGTTGTTCAGGTCGGATTAAGAACTCACTAACTTTAACAAATTTCCAACCCTCCAAAATACAATCAATACTACTTTGAGTATAACAAGAGAAAATAAGTTACAAGCAATTGAAATACTATCACACACACTCAAACAAATATCACTAGACACATGATACAGCTTTACGGAATAGATTCACAAACATTCCTGTACGCGCAACATATACAAATTTTTAATTTTTAAATCATGTTCGTTGTATGTGCAGATTGTACGTACAGTAACAAGCAAATTTACTACTGAAATTATTAGTATATATAAACCCAATTTTAAAAGTGGGAGATAAAATTTTGATGAATTATTTAAAAGACCATAACATAGTATTATTTGGAAGATTACTTATACATTTTGTGCCATTTTTAACCAGGTATATACAGTATCAAGACCATACAAACTGCAAAAAGTATGAACTTGGCAAACGGGGGACATACAAAAATCATCCAAAATTCTCAAACTCTGGGTTCGCCTTATATGCAAGAATATGATATAACATTAACCTACTGTCTCTGAGTGTGTGTATCGTTTGCCAAGGACATTACAGTGGCTAATGTACTTCCTATCCTGAGAGACAGTTGCTGGGTCTTGTTGAAACAACCAAACCTAGGAAACAATCAATAGTTAATTAAAAAAGAAAGGTTTGGCTCACAAAAATATGATCTGTAAAGATTAAATATAGAAAATAACAAAACAGAATTATGCATTTTAAATGATTTTCTAAAAGATCAAGTATTTAATCAATGTTGATGAACTTACTAAAGCTTCCGCACTGTTATATGGACTCAATGTTATCCTAGGTACAAACAACCTCATCTGGAAAAAAATGAAAAAAACATTATGAAAATCAGTTGAAATTATATTGTTCTATAAATGTATAGTAGTAAATTGGTAAACTGTGTCTACTAATTGATTTTGCAACCCTAATTATTTTTTTTATTATTAGGTCATGCCTAGGTAAGTTTCAATTAAGTCCCAATAACTAGTATTTTCTAGCTAGAACCTACAACTGAAGTTATTGAGTAGACACTACAATCACTGGTTTGAGAAAAGGAAAGCCTAATGCTGTGGGGCCGGTACAAAATTAGGAGCCATTGTATTTAAGGCTGAAACATAGCGTAAACCATTTTCCAGCCTGTCAACAATGCAAGCTGAGGTCTCAACCACGAGGTAGGAGTTTGAATTATCACAAATACATATTTAATACATATTATGTACTTCCTATCCACTTTTTACGTCTAATAACAGTCTGCAGCCTAAAAACAAAGTTATGCGTACAAAACTTACTGAGCACATAACTGGTGTAATTGCCCGCCATAGCCATTTTGGTAGGATGGAGTTTGTGATGTTTGTCATGGATAGACCGGGACAGGTAATGTGGCTATAGACACCTTTGTCGTTCAACTTCTCATTGATTGCTAGGCTGAGCAGATCTATCGCATACTTGGATGAACTATATGGTTCAGACCTGAGAAGATGACATCGCAAAAAAAACAAAAAAAAAATCATGTAATATTTTAATAAAATTTTATCAGTTTTATATACATTAGTTAATCTTATTATATTTTCTATACAAAAAAAGAACATGTTTTATCACTATCAGTAAAATTTATATTTCACAGATTGCATACATTTTATCATCTGTTCTATCAAACAATACTTATAACAGGTCCATTGATGCTTCATAGGGGCAGATCCAGAACTTTTGAAATGAGGGGGAACCAATTACATATAGGCCTAAATACAAAATATTAATATTATACAGATATATATGTATCGGATATTAGTATGATTCGTGTATATGTATATGCTGTTAGGAAATATCGTAACAAATTCCATTTTGTATCTTTTTTTTAAAAAAATTAAATGATGGCAGAGGCAAAAATACTGGAGGAAGGTTGTGATTCCTGTTCCCCTTCCTAACTTCGTACCTGCTTTATAACTAAAGCCATGTTTACTTTGGATAATTTTAGTCAAACTAGCCTTGTACCTAGTCATTTTGAACAAGAAAACAGTGCAAACAACCTGCATAATATTCTCCATGGTCAAATTAGCATTGCCTGGGAAAAATAACTGTATTTCTGAAGCAGAGAAGCCAACACTACAGTGCGACTCAGTAAAAATTAAATCATACTGCACATATCTCTTAACTTTTCACAAAAAACCTACTGTGTATATAAAAATCCATTGTGACTAAAGTTATGATTTGATCAATTTACTCTCTTTGTCTAGGTCAAAATTATTATAATGCAAATACGGCTTAAATCCCTTTAGTTTCATCAATATTTACCCTTTTTCATGCTGAACATCATCAATGTTGAAATTTGACCTGCGTGCATTGCTCGATGAAGTCCAAATTATGTGAGTTTTAGATTTCACTAACAGATCCTCCAAGGCCTGAACCTAAAAAAAAACCCATTAACAAATGCATTAATAAGTCTTGCACCTTTAAATTTTCTCTAATTTTATGAATTATTCATTAGTAATGCTAAAGTTGTAGTATGCACACAAGCCAACAAATGGAGTGTCAATCAAATTGATAATTCAAAGTCATAATCGGTGCGCACATGTGTTGTCAAAAAAATTTTTACACCATCTTTTTGTGGGATCTAAGTAAAAATATTGAAGGTGCTGGTCTTAGCAGCAGTGGCGGCATCAGCGGTCGGACTGGCCTGGACACCCAGCCATTCGACGCCACAACAGGGTCGTCTGATCAAAAATAATACAGTAATTGCTTATCCAAATAAAGTTATTTTGATTGTCAATATTGTGGTCTAAAAGCAAAATATGGGTCATACTAAGCCATAGAATCTCTCCCTGTGAGCTGCCCTACCAGAGATTTTTATTTCGGGACCCTGACTGAGGATCTAGTTAACGCCTTGTTTTGGACCCCCTGCCGCACATTTCAGACCCGCTGTCAGCAAATTTCTGGAGCCACTGCTGCTGAAAGGTCCATTGGCCAACTTACAAGAACAAAGTGTCCAAAAATGTTGGTGGTAAATATGGCTTTGAGGCCATCTTCTGTGCTGTGGTCTTTCAGGTAAAGTAACCCCTCACCTGTGGTCAACATCTCAATCACTCTGGACCTATTAAAAAACAACAACTTTCATCAAATGAGGCTTGTCATCCCAAAACCAGTGTACTGTTGCAAAATGTTAAACTGTGTATTTAGCATAAGAATGTTGCAGTATTGTATACTTTAGTGCAGAAAAGCCTTAATATTTCCACTCATAACTTTGGCAACAGTAAGTCGATTCCAGTAAATGACCAATCATTTTTAAGCTTATAATGTGGAGAATACGAATATATTAAAAAGTCAATTTTCATGTTTTTGTCACTGACACTAGTTTTGGCATTTCAAGCCTCATATACCATATTACATAATCAATATTCTTCCAAGATTAATGATAGTAAATTAATATTATTGTAGTTCTTTTTTTATGACATTGTACTTTTCTATTCATTTGTGTACTTTTTTATTATTATCTAAATTTTGCTCTTCTAATTTACTGTATATATATTTAAGTAATCAGGTCATGCATTTTTCTTGTTAAAAAAAATAAACATGTTTTTCTCAATAAAATAAAAATATGCAATTTTCAAACAGGTAATGAATGATGGACAGCTGAGGCTGTTTATATTTTCAACAAGCATAACGGATGAATATACAGTATGTTAAAATATACAGTAATGCGATTCAATATTGATATGAGTGACAAAAAATACATATTAATTACATACTAACACAGAGAAAAGTCCTTTGATAAATACTTTCCAATTAAAGGTTGAGACTGGCATAATACCTGCATTTAGGTATAGATAATCCAGACACTCATATCTGAAAAGATGAAATATAAGTTATTTGTAGCAACAAGAATTTTAAAGTTAAATACAGCAGTAAAACTTGTCAATTGGGGTGTTGGAGGCAGGATAAAGGAAATTCAATCAATATTCAAAAGTATCGCAACACAAATATCCAGAGGTTGGTGCCACTACAGCAAACCAGCAAAGGATCTTGAAGTTAAAGAATTGGTCAATGTGGTGTATGGTATGATACTATTTGAAAACAAGGTGTATTTTTGTTAGCAGCTTGGATATTTTGTTTCTATTTCTAAAATATTTGCAACCTTTTTGAGTTTGAAAAAATGTGTGCAAACATACAATGCTGCACTATTAACTGACAATGTGTCAATTAAGTCTAATAATAGTAATAAACATATAATTTATAGAGCACTTTCTTACCTACAGTAGAAATGAAGTTTTAAATTTAATGCTTATTAAAAAAAAAGGGGGAGGGAAAGAATTTGACAGAGGATGGCCTTTGACTGATATTGCAATACTATCCTGACAATCTTATGCCATTATTCAATATCAAGCACAGACAATCAAATTTTATTTGACGAAAAAATGTGACATGCAAAAATATGGTCATTATGACATCACATCTTGACGTTATATAGGGATGGATGTATATGAGCATGCAACAGTTTATTGTCAAAGAAAAACTGATAGTGTGCAGAGAGCTTTATTAATTCATGCACATTTTCATACCAAATTTTATTTGACAAAAACATGTGAAATGCCTATAAATACACACCTTTGTTTGATTTCTTCTGCAGCTTTATACACTGACTTTAGCTCGCTAGTGTCCACCGACTGGATATCAATTGTACTCTGTCCATGTTTTGCTAGCAGCTCCCTCCTAGCGACCTCTGCCCTCATAACATTTCGGCAAGCTAGACATATTGTCAAAGTAGGTTCAATTTCCAGTAAACGGTCAGCAACACTATAGCCAACACCCCTGGAACAACAAAAAAACCGAACAATTATTGTTCAATGAATGAATATTTTCAACATACTTATTAGTTAGTGATAGTGTATTTGTAGGCCAACACCAGGAGGATTAGTAGTCATTTTCAAAAGTGTATCCTATACAGTAACAAGGCCTATTTGCATGACCAATGACTGAAATTAATCTTGTGATTGATTTTTTCTTTTTTTTTAGCAAACAATAATTTAACTAATCCTGAGACTGTGGTTGGCATGATTTGAGCTGCAGAGTGGATTCACGTTTTCTTTTTATGTCAATTTCAAAAAGAGGATATTTTATCCTGGATGGATGAGAGCTCCCTGGATAGTATCTTTCCAACTTTCCTCTTCTTACATTTGTCCACTTTTCCTGACAATTTGCACCTTTAGAACTTTTTCATGCGAGTTTGCAAGAAGCCCTGCAATGATCCTGCTAATCTTAATTGGCAGATGGCCGACAAGCTTATACACCACCACCACCAATTTCATCTGCTGTTGAAACTCACAGAATTCTTGTCACGAGCCATGCTCTCTAGACGATTATCTTTTCTGCAGCAGAACCATTCGTAATCTTCAGTTTTCGAATGTATATAATTTTTTTCATTCAAATATCACTCATTGGAATTTCCAAGTTCCCAAGTTCCCAGAAAAACCCCTCAATTTTCATATATTTCCATAAGCGCCCCCTCAATTTACACTCTGTTTTCATAAGCAGACCGTCTGAATAAGCGCCCCTCAAAAAGGGCAAAAAATATTTTAAGGTTATATGCTTTAAATTTATATACCGGTATATGAAGAAATACAATATCTTATTTTTGGAGATTTCAAGGCAGCGGTGGGTGTAATAAACAGAAATTTTTTTCTGAAATTTCCATTTTTCCGTGGTGAATAAATTATTATTAGTTTTGCTAAGAACCATTTTCATCAGAATAAGGATTTAGTTTCACATGATAGTTTTTGCACGGTCTCCCCTGCCGACTGCCACCCCCAGACAGAATCCAGTCCCCTTGCCTGGAACACAATGTCCAATACCTATATTTAAATTCCTCTGTTAACACCAATGAAAAAAACATTTTATCACACCATACTGTATGGTATGATAAGTATTTGCTTAAAATGATCACACCATTATGATATGGTGTGATGTAGGCGTAAGATAATTGATATGGTGTTATGTACAGTACGGTTATAATTCATCTATGTTGGTGTATAATGTTCAAAGTTTTGGAATTTGTTCTTCAGGGAAAATACTGATAATACTGTACATTAAAAACGTGCATACATAATGAATTTATCAGAGATGAGTTAGTTTCCAGGAGACTTGCTTGCTCATTTGAGTGCAAGTAACTCTTGTCAAGGTCAGAGAGACACCGCAACTTGTAGGGGACTAGGGACCCTAGAGATATTTTTCCCGACATTTTCAACATTGAACTTACAACATGATTTTTTAAGTGTAAAATAATATAAAGCATATAAATAAATATTAGTATAACAAATTGTTACTTTACATAATGAACTAAAATAACAAAAATAAGTTTCCATCTTAATACTATATAATAAATGAGATATTTTAAAAAGTAGGCCTCCTTTTAGGCCTAATATATGCTTATATAGAATACACACTTAATTAACGATATTAGTTGATTATGATCAGAAAGTTTTGATTTCAATTACACCACATGACATGAGCACACCTTGGATTATTCGCACCATGGCCATGCCCCACCCCTTCACCTGACAACTACCCACCAACCACCGTCCCCATTTCTCCCCGCAACAATATCCACGCATATCCACATGACCCTAATGATTCTACATAGATAAAAAGCCCTGTCATGCTGGTCACACAGCTACACATCATCAACCGAAGAATAAATTCAACAATCTCCTTGCACAGTTTGCAAATCTGTGCAAAGAAATCTTTGCACAGTTTTCAAATAATTGTGCAAGATTTCCATGCACAGTTTGCAAGGCTGTGCAAGGAAGAATTAGCATCAACAAGATTTTGCAACAACGAGATTTTGCACATTATTCAACGAATTCATCAACCTTTCCTTATCCAAACTGTGCGTTCGCGGCTTTCAATGAGCCCTCCCCACTCAAACTGGCTGGCTGCAGGCTCTTTCTTGTTGGCCTCTCCTCTTTATCTGAAAAGTTGGGGCCTAGCCTAGGCCCTAGCTACCACAGGCCTCTAGCAAGTTTAGATATTTCATAGTGATGTAATTTCAATCTATTATTATGCAATATTAACACTTACGAATTGGCTCCAGTTATTAGAACTACTTTCTGCATCCTTACAGCATTATAAATGCACCTGACCCTGGCAGAAGATTCTTTCTGTTCATCCTGATTTCTTTTTCATTTTTATCGGGGGGATCCATGTTTGCACTATTACGTAACTCATGAATATATATATATCTGGTATGACCTTTCACCTACCTAAGTTCTCAATAGCTCTCAGCTAGCTGTAAACAAAAATCTATTGTGAATCATGATCATATGAATGAAATAGGGCCCAGCCCAACTATGTCAATATATTCAATGAGCGTTTCCAATGTGTATTAAATTCAGGCCTCAAGAAGTACAGGTAGGTTAGTCTTAGTTAGTTAGTAGTAGGCCTTATAGGCCTAGTCTCTAGGCCCTAGAGGCCAAGTTAATAATAGTAGCAGGGTGTTGTATTATACTGTTACCTGTAACAACTAGAAAAGTAGGCCTAGGCTAGGCCTTATCGCCTTTCTATTTCTGATCCTGGACATGGCTTATGGCTAGGCCTAGGCCGCCTAGTCTGGACCAAGGAGGTATAAAAATAACCTGGACTGGGCGCTGGGTAGGTGAGGGACAGGTATGCTTTGCATTAATTAGTAACGTTAAAAAGTATAAATAAGCCCTAATAAATAATATTTTCAATTAAAAACGTGTTGTTGTTCGGTATCTTATTCTTATTGTCATTATATTTCCCCAGGATTGTTTTCTCGGGGAATCTCCCACCCAGGTGGTAGTAGTCCATTGTGATGTTGTAGCAAAATTTCATTAATTGATCTGAAGGTAGCAGGTCAAAACGGCAATAACCAAAAAGGCAATGAACCAAAACGGCAATGACAAGTACCAAAACAGCAACAGACCAAAACAGCAATGAGTCCAAAACAGCGAAGGCGAGAAATCAATGCCAAGACTAGCAAGCACCACCAGGCGCGGGCTGCAGTTTATAATTTTCTGAATCGTTTTAAAATTGTCCCGATAGGCAAATTGAATATTGCCATGGGCTCTTTTTCCAACTTTTAATGTTATTTTGTATTTTTTTTATACTTTTACAATACAACATAAATTGTTTAGTCTCATTTTGTCTGTATTTGAAAGTTTTATTTATTTAAATGTTTTACTGCTTTTATATTGTTCCCCCCCCCAATTTTTATTATTTAATTTGTATGTTATATTGTTGTTGTTGTTGTTGTTGTTGATATTATTATTATTGTTATTGATATTATTAGTAATTATTGATATTATTATTATTATTATTACAGTATTATTATTGGGATTGTTGTTGTTGTACTTCTTTCGCGTTTTTTACTTCTATGATAATTTGTCGCTCACATCACGAACTAACACAGTCAAATTAGATTGTGTTGGTTCGTGAAATCACGAAAGCGCATCAAAATACGCGTAGTTGTTGTTACAGACTTTTTGTGTTAGTTCGTAATGTGATCGACAAATTTATCGCGTTTTTATTCAAATAGTGTTAGCATCGTTTGGTCTTGCCGTTTTGACCCATTTTGGTCTGTTGCCGTCCTGGTCAAAAAGTGTTGCCATTTTGGTTTTTTGCCGTTTTGGTCTATGCCGTTTTGACTTATTTCCGTTTTGGATTATTGCTGTTTTGTCCAGAATCTGAAATATACCACTGATTGTTAATATGGCTTGCCTGGGGAATAATATCCTATTGCAAAAATTAGGCCTACTGTAGGGCCTAGCAATTTTCCACGCATATGAGCAATTAAATTACTTAAATTTTTTCTAAATTATTACAGATTAAACTTTTGAATTAAAATGGCTGAAGGTGGATCAGAGAAACCTACAAAATATCCAGCAGTACCCCAGGTACAGTATGCCAGTAAACTTAACCCCATTGTTTGAATACATTTCTGACTATACCCACCCAGGCACATTCAGAAACACACAGAGTTCAGACAAGGATGCTTCCAACCTATGTACACCCTAGTACTGGTACTGGTATGGGCATTTATAATGCACCTCTTCCTTGAGGTAATATAAAGCACAGTACTTTTCCCTGGTCATTGGGTCCACATGCTTTAAGTGTTGCTGCTGGAAATCTGCGCAAGAGCAGGCAACCCCACCAGATACCCATTTATACTAATGGATGGAGAGAAGCAATGCAGATAAAGTTCTTTGTTCAAAGACACAAGCGAAATGCACAGCGAGGGATTGAAACCCCGTCCTCGAGGTTGGGAACCAAACCGTTCCCGCTGCGCCAAACCATCTCTACTAATACTGCCCCCAACAATACACATCCATTGCTAAATTCATCCAGGGACATTTAAGTTTTTAAAATTATTGTTGCAGTATCATATTACCTATTGAATACATACAATAATAAATAATCATTATTAACTTTGTTTTGTCACTCATTTTTTAGTATGGGCCTTACACAATAAGAGATTTGAAACCAGGTGAAAAGAAGAAATGGTGTAGTTGTGGCCTGAGTAAGAAACAACCCTGGTGTGATGGTGAGTGGGGTAAACCTTACTTGGAATTTAACACCCCTTCAAGGGGATACATGCAAATTTTATACTGGCTATGTTCTCACACGGCAGCTAACAGTTAGCAGGATCCGGAACCTGCTAACCGTTAGCTGCCGTGTGTCCATACAGAAAATCCCGATCCGGATACCAAGAATATGATGATCAAATCACTGGCCAATAAGAAACTGGAAATTGTAAACGCGTACGTGTGATTGGTTGATGATAGAAACGCGCTCACTTGCTAACCGTTAGCGGTATCCGGATATTGCTAATGGTTAGCGCTAACCGATCAGGCGTTCTCACGCAGGTGCTAACGGTTAGCTAACGGTTAGCTTCCGATCCGGATACTAGGGCTAAGTGAGAACCAGGCTACTGTAAGACCTTGAATAGAAACCCTGGGCTTCTCCTGTTTTTTTAATGACCCTTTTGGTGGCCTTTTCTGTATTACTTTGCAAACTAAAGCGAGGGGACTTCTTTTCAAAATGAATGCTGTAAATTTTGGACAAGACAAGAGCAAAGTGGGCATGGTCGGGCTTCACTCAAAATCTTTTGAAAGTGGTGTAGGGGGAAATGTCCCTGAAATATATGGGCTTATAGGCTTATTTAATCGATTTTAAAGTCTACTAATATGTAGAAAATACATGTAGTTTTTTTTTGTCAGTGACGAATTGTGGTTTTTCTCTCCAACAGGGTGGGGGAGGCCAGCTCTCCCTTACAAAGAGTCCTGGCCTCTTCCCCCTCCACTGGCGCCACCCCTGATATAGAGTACATAATCTTGCTTCTAAAAACTCCACTATGTCTCTTAAAAAAAAGCTACAATTATCCAAAATTCTTGCTAACTTATAACCATGTCTACTTCTACTGTTTGCATTTTCTGCTGTTGTTATGTTTTTATTTCACCTTTTCTATCGCTTCTTCCACTTGCAAATCTAAACTCTGCTTCACATCTCTTTCATCATAGATTCTCACAAATGCACTGGCTTTACACCATTGCTTTGGACTGTCCCAGAAAAACAACAAAAACTTTACCAAATATGCGCTTGCAAATACACACGTAAACCACCATATTGTGATGGAACGCACGTCAATCTTCCGTGCGATGTTCTTGAGCGTCAGAAAGGTTGTGCACAACAGAAAGAACATAGTAACTGCCAAAAGCTATGTACAAGTTGTGGATTCATCCCCGACTTCTGATTTGGTTTTATTGGTCAGTTGATAAAGAGTATGAGGCAAGTTAATATATAATTTAATACTTGCAATACTGTATTAAGAATAGTTTTGATGTTGCTGTTTGATTCAGAATTGATATCATGGAGATACTTGGTGGTAATTTTATTAATCACAATATTATATGTAGTCATTGTATTTAAATACATTGTATATTATTATTATACAGTAGTCCAATAATACACCATTTTTCAATATTAATTTTCTTCAGGTTCGCACAAGAAAACAGGTTTTCATTCAGTAAAATGGAAAGTTCCAGACAATCCAGAGCCAGCGTATGATATATGTGGGTGTTGCAGTACCAAGAACGCCCCCTTCTGCGATGGTACCTGCCGTCAAACAGATTTTGAGAAAGAAATTAAGGAGAGACAAGCTACATGTATGAAAAAAGATGAACATCCAGATTGCAAGAAAATGTGTACAGCATGTGGGTGGGCTGCAGACTTTTGACCAGAGGACATTCATATTAATATTCTGTTCACACTATCAAATTCTATGTGACACTTTTGTTTGATGTGCCTATATATGGGCATGATGATGACATATTACACCCAAATAAGTAGGTAGGTAGGTAGGTAGGAGTATTTTGATGTGAATCACACCAAGGATAACCCACCAAGTCCGAAGACTTGTTTCCATTGGGGTCCTTCTGGTTGTTAATTGGGCAGTACACTGGGAGACAATCCCCTACTCCTTTTCGATGAGTGTACAACAATCTTTGACGTGCACATGGGCCGTATTCCACGCAGGACCAACGGCTTGAATGTCTCTTGTAGCTTGTATTTCAGCCCTCCAGCTAAATCACAAAGAGAGCAGCGATAGGAATTGAACCGGGGACCAAGATGTATTACAGTTATTTTTCACATAAAATTTCATAGTGTGACCAAAGCTTAATAATAGGTTATTTTAGAATTATAATTAAAATTATTTCAACATGAAGATGATTTCTACTGAACTTCTGTAGTTGCCATGGAAATTAAGCAATTAACAGATGTAAAGAAATCAAGAAAAATGCTACAGAAATACCTCATTAGATGTAACAGGCTTACATAATGTCTCAACATGCAGAGCAATATTAGAACTCAAATACGGTACAAACCTTATTAAATTATTGATAAATTATTGTAAAGACCAAAGAAAAAGTGAGCCACCAATATTGTTCTCATCATGTCAGGCCCACAACTGATTTTTTTTTTTTTTTTTTTTTTTTTTTTATAGTGGCTATGATTACGCCGAGATGTAGTGCATTAAGATTATTCAGGGCTCGATTTAGTACTAGTCCGTCGTATAATGTCTAGTAAAACCTCCTCTGGGCTAGTAACCTACCTTATTACTAGCCGGGTGGGCCAGTGATCAGTTATATACTATTGCTTCAAGTATGCTTGGCCAAGAACATAATGTTACTGATGTATAATGTAGTCAATGATTGGGCTAGTAATATAGCCAATGGGCTAGTGAAATATACAGTAAACTGGCCCAGTGGGCTAGTCACCAAAGAAAATTAAATCGAGCCCTGAGATAGCAAGAGTTTTTTTAAAGTTAATGTAAAACCAAGTCAACCAATCAGAGCATTGTGATTTTGATCACTTCGGCTTAAGCATAGCCACAGCTTGTGTTTATATTGTTTATTTCCATCACATCCAACAGCAAGTACACTCACCATTTATAGGATAGAACGATGCTTTATAGAAATTTTTCTTTTCTTTTCTTTTTTTTTTTTGTACATTAAGTTATTCCTTAATAACAACAGAATAATGAGAGTAACATTTGTTTTGTTTGTCCAGTATTTTTTCTTTACTCATTTATCTTTTCAATAATTCATTTTTATATATTGTCAGTTGTTTTGTAACTGTTGTACGGGTCAAACCTCTCCTGCGCGAGAGTGTTCCTCTGTTATAAAAGAGAGAACCAATAAATCTTATCTTATCTCAAGTCTCTTATTGATGCCTAGGGAGTGGAGTTGTTTTTGGTTCTGCTGTGACAGGATTGAACCCAAGACCCTGGCCTTAGAAAGCAAGCATCTTAGGCCTAGTTCAGACTAGGTGGATAAACCCGGCTCAACCCACCGGGTTTATCCACCTGCCAGTCTGAACTAGGTGGCTTATCTCAAGCCGGGCTGTATTCCTATAGTAACAAGGCCTGGTGTGCCACCGTGCTTAACTTTTCTAAGCCGGGCTTTAATTGTTGCGGAGGGAGGGGGTCTTGCATTGACTTTCCGGGTAACAAAATGACCAATCAACATTCAGTTACGTACGCTGCGAGCGAGCGTACATACGTTTCGCGAGCAATGTTTTCAAACACGTTTCCTGGTTACGGTTCATTATTATGCAAATTCTCGCACCTGGCTAATCCCGCTAGTCTGAATGCCCGGCAAAGTTAAGCCGGCTTAACGTTGAGCCAGGCTTAACTCAAGCCTGGCTTATCTCCAAGTCTGAACGTAACCTATGCCACTAAGCTATTCAACTTCACTAAACACATACAGTACTATTGTTATTAAAATTGATCATTCAAGATAATTATGGATGGTGAACATATGCCCATCATTGACAACAGCTGTTGTTAACAACGTGACTTACTGTATTCATAATCAGAGGGACAAATTTTTATGTAATGTGTATAGGTTTTGATAGTTTAAATTTTTTATTACTTTATATTCTGATCATAATCTATACATCTATTTAGTAATTTGGAATGAACCAGTTACTGTAGAAATTTTCCATTTACAACTAAAATTTTCAGATATAATTTCTTACTGAAATAGATTTTTAAAGAAACTCTGGCAAATATTAATTTGTATTACTGTTATTATTTTAAAATTTTATATAGAATTTATATTGCTTTAGGTTCTTTAGCCCACAAGTTGAACATTTCCACGTCCATGAGGTCTAATTATATTTCACTGTGCATGGTGATATTCTTTGGCACTGACTGCCAGGAGACAGTTGATAATACATGTTTTTACTAGTTTTTACTACTGTATACTGTATACAGTAGTAGAAACATGCAAATATCGTGAATTTACGAGAGATTGGTTATTTTCTGTTAGGTGCTTTCTGCTCACGAGAGATGCGGGACCCCTGTATTACTGTATAAGTAGTACACATTTTTACTAAGAACCCCAAAGAGGTTTATCTAATTTTATATTTTGGTATTACAACTTGATTTTTTGGGAATAATTACATTAAGTTGCTAGCGTCAATAATTATTTTAAGTCAAATTGTATCTGTGGGCCCCATTCTTGTAATTATTGTGTTGCGCATCAGGATTCACAATGAGCATGGTGACAAATCCAAAGTGAGTCACCCTGTGTAACATCGCCCTATTTTGAATTAGATTCAAAAATTATATTCTCCCTCCCCTGTGCTAACGGCTGCGATTCTCTAAATTTGTGGATCTGCTCCATCAAAGCATAGCCATTCCAGGTTCTTTGTGTATTTTATTTTAATGATATATAGAATTATGGAATAGAATATTAATGGCATAGCACAAGATAGTTGTGGTGCTCAAAGTATTTTTATGTAACTGAAATAAATGGAAGATAATAGAAAGTTTTTGACAAAATTTTGTTTATTGAATGTGGACACTAGTTCTTTGTTTTTGGACGGTGTTCCTTCATTAATTTTACTTACTATATTTACTTATTTAGGCACACAGCATATGCACCAAGGATTGTCTATAGCCAACATATCACTGTCCTACTTGGTGACAATCACTTTCACAAGACAATACAAACACACACACGATGCTTACACAAACTCAATTTCAATGAGGCTTTAGAGAGTTAATTTAGAAGAAATCGTGCAATACTGACAGGAATTGAACCAAAGACCCTGGATTGGAAGGCAAACATTCTAACCACCAAGCTAGTCAACTCTAGTCCATGGTGCATCTGCAAGTGTGAACAAATTATTTTGCTCTCAACGATCGAAAAATGGACCTTCTGCGGGTTATCGTTCCTTTGTATATTGACTCGATAGAATTCGTTAAACGAAGCTCACCGCTCTGCAAACTGTTCATAATTAGATGCGTTTCTTAGAAGGATGGATAATCCTTCCATTTGATGTTTTTTTTTACTCGCATTAGTGCCCTGGTATTTAAACTTCTTAATCTGAATAATTGAAAAAGATGCGTGTTTTTAGGGCAGACTATTTTTTGAAGTTGGTGTCTGTCAAATTTCAAGAGAGTTTGTTCCAAAGATGCAGCAAAGAAGCCCTTGTGCCGCATTTGCAAACATTTACTGTACGCAAAATGAAACAGTAATATAAAACTGGTAATTATATTTATAACTCTTGCTATAACTGAAACATTTTTTTAGAGGACGTCAACCACAAAAGTATCCCTTTTTTAAATATACAAACATAACAAACTCGATAGTCCTAAAACGAAACGAAACTAAATCGCACATTATTTCTTGCAATGAAGCCTTTTAAGCAGTGGTGTATCTACGGGGGTAGGGGTGCACGCCCCTTCCAAAAAAAAAAACAAAAAACAAACTTGTTTATCAATATCATTATACACATGTTAGATCCAATTTCCAGTAAATTACATGCACGCACCGACGTGGAAAAAATATTACTATATTAGTCTAAAATTCATATTATGACCACAACTTTAAGTTGTAACTTATTCTTAAAGGAAAAAGAATAATGCAATTCATTTAATAATTTAAAAAAAAAAAAAAGAAAAAAAAAAAAATGTTTGTAGTAAGATCATTTCCCATGATATACATTACCGGCACAGCCACAGGTTACCCCAAAGTGTAAATCTCAAAAATGGATAAATTGATTTTTATTCTGAATCACTACATACTGAGTAGATTACTGGTAAAAGTTTAAGACTTTATTTTTAAATCACACAAAATCACAAATTTATATTCATTAGGCCTAGTACATTCTCGACTGTCATGGAAATGTGGACCTTATCAAACTTGGTTGGGTGCGTGCGCATCCATCGCACCTCATACGCACAACCCCACCTACTGGAATTTAGTGCCAATTAATACAGTACGCGTAATAATATCTTCTAAATTTCTCAGTATTTTTCTTTAATTCTTTTTCCACTTACAATGCTGTTTGATTTGAAATTCACATACCATTCATGACGTTGCTCTTCTTCCGTATTCATTTGCAGTCTCCCGGGGCTCGGGGGTCATTTTTTACTTTCTTTTTAGGCCTAGATGTATCAAAGTTTGTTCGTAAGTTTTAAGCTTTAGGTCAACAATTAATCTCCCACTCCATTAAAGACTTGTTTTTTTTTTTTCATAGCATTCGTTAAAATAATAATTAATTAATTAATTAAAATATTAGGTTTTCGCTTTAGTGTGATTTTGAAATAACAAAATAT